AGAATATTTATGATGTTCTTCATTGTTGAAGCCACGAGTTCCTACTGCAGTTGATTCGGTCATGCCATAACCCTATAAACAGATAAATTCAAGCAAGCTTAGTAATGCCCTAAGAAATCGATAAAGATGTAAATTCAAATTCAACACTAGCGTCCTAAGAGAAAGTAGTAAGCTCTCAGTCGATAAAAACAGAAAGGCACAACATTTAAATGGATTATTATTGGGCTATAATTTGTAAGAGCATAATAACTTAAGAGGTGTTTGTTAAACTTAAGCCTTAGTACCTGAATGAAATCAACATGAGGAAGAGCCTCAAAAAAGTCCTCTATGGCTTTCCTGCTCGAGGGTGCAGCACCAGAGGAAACCTGTTTCAAACTCTTCAAGCTATTTTCACAAACACCCTTGGCTCTCATTGTCAATGCTGTTAGTATAGGTGGAACAACTGGAAAGTGAGTAACTCCATAATTATCAATTACTTTTACCAGTTTACTGGCATCAAATCTCCTCATGATAACAATGCTAGACCCCAACGATAGCAATCCAACTACAAAAAGTGACAAGCCATATATATGGAACATTGGTAGGGCAGCTAAATACACATTCTTTGAACTTGAATACTGATACTGTGAAGCCTCAAATCTTACAAAAAGCTCAATCATTGCTATAAAATTCCCATGTGTTAATACAACTCCCTTACTAACACCTGTAGTACCTGATGAATACATTATTGCCGCAGCGTCCTGCTGTCTAATCACTGGCCTTGGTGCCTTACCAAATTGGCCCCCAATAAGCTTATAAAATGGTAAAAAACCAATCTTTTCTGCATCCAGGTCCATATTTTCTGGTACCCCGATTGCATGAACACCCAAGTTCTTAAGTTTGTCAACCTTTTCGAGTAGAGTAAAAGCAAAACGCACATTACAATCAGCAATCTGTTTCTTGATCTCCAACATACTACTTAGTGGATTCATTGTGGTAACAATTGCACCTGAATATAAAACGCTCAAGAAAATAATGGGAAAGTGAACAGAATTTGGCAACAACAGCATGACCACGTCACCTTGAGAAACACCCAGGTGGTGGAGACCAGAAGCCATTGATTGCACCAAAGGTAAAAGCTTTGAGTAAGATATTGAATACCCAGAGGAGGAATCAATCAAAGCAGTGACCCCATCATGTCGGTGAGAGAAAATGAAGGAAACAATATCAAGAAATGGATCAGTGGAGAGAGATATAGAGGAATGTTTACTGGAATAGATTCCTGTTTCTGGTGAATACCAGTTAGGAAAATGACTAGTTTTGGATTCTGAGGTTTGGAGGCAGAAATGGGAGCTCATGCTCGTTGCCATTGATGTAGAGGAGATAAAACAGAGGAGAGGCAGAGCAGCCGATAATAGAATTTGATTGCGGTTCGTGCTGCCAAGGACTTAAGGAACTGCTTTTAGCGTGGCGTGGAAATGCGGAATGAAACAACGTTGATTGGGTCAATGGAAAAATATGGAAAATGACAACGTTTTTCTATCTTATTATTTATTTAATTAAAAAAATATTATATGAATACATTTTTTTTAAACGTCAATTGATTCAAATATTAATAAATGAAAAAAAAATAAATTGTTATAATTTTCCTTTCTTAAAGATAAAACAAAAAAGAAATAACTTTAAAATAAATATTTGTACCCGTACTTTTCGAGTAACATAGACATTCCTTAAATACAATCTATTAAAAGGGGTAATGCTAACGTATGCCCTAATGCACTCTTCAAGTTACTATTTATGTTATTGTACACGTAGTTTTTTATTTTTATTTTTTTTATATAATTATTTAGTAAACAGTGAAAAAAGCATTATTTTTATTGTAAACAATGAAAAAACATTTGTCATTACTAAACTATGCCCCAACCATCATATTAGCAAGCAAACAAACATATTTCTAAAATTAACAGCATAAATAAAAATGAATTCGTGAGTGAGAAATACAAATTTCCAATCTTCAAATCAATCAATGGCACAATCTCAAATTGCTCAAGGGGGCTGGGAAGCATCATTTTTATTGTAAACAATGAAAAAAACTTTGTCATTACATATACAGAAAAATACTCTTACCTTTGATAACAATATATCACAATACCATTTGACTAATTTATTTGTTGGTAAGATACAAGAACTATGCTTGTACTTATTGCAACATTAACTAAAAGAGAAAATAGATAAAATAATTTATGTTTATATAGATGTTTCTAATTAGGATTAAACAAAATTATATTACAATATATATAATTATATAGTTTTGATAATTAATTATTTTTTCATACAGTGACATAAGATTGGAGCAATCCCATCATTCGACAATTAATAAAAAATTAAAAATCCATTTTCTCGGCTTCTTGTCTGATTCAAAGTCGTCGCTCAATGATTTCTTAAACAAAGGAAGGGTAAAATAAATATTAATATTAGTATTGTCTGCTAAATTTGCTTGCATAAATTCAACTTTATTTTAGTTTTTTTCTCCTTCTTCGTAAATGGTTGAGCCGACCCACTTGTTTGAAATATTCACGTTTTATTTTAATAAAAAAAATGATTTCATCAATCAAAGAAGCAACTAGAGACTAGATATTGAACAAATTAGGTTGACGTTATCAATTCATGTGTTGGTTTAGGATACTGCCATCGATAGATAACGGATTTATTGATAGAATATTAAACATAGTGATTAGAAAAAAAAATAGATTAAATTAAGTTGACTTAATGATAGATAGATATTTTGGTAGTCCAATCGAAGCGTTGGTTTTGATTAATATTATCAATCGTCATCAAATTTGTTGATAAAATATTAAAATTTTCAAATACAATTTGTTTAGGTGAATATAGTGCGAAGAAGATCGAAGATGGCGCATGTTTATAATTTATATAATTAAGTCATACTACATTAATTTATCAAAACGTATAATTTGAGTTTGATTTTTTTCGAGTTCAAGGATTTATGTAATTTAGATTTCAAGTAGATGTTTAACTTTTTCTTTATGTCTATTCAGATTAATTAATGGATGAATAATTCCTTTTCTGTTAATTTATACATGTATAAATAATTTCTATAAATCTAAGTTATGTTTCGTCATTTGCATCGTATTTGTTTTTTAGTTCAAATACAAAATTTCAAACTTTAAATGTCTCCAACTGTCATTTTCTTATTTTGTGCGGCTGTAGAATAAGAGCTTAAAAGAATAATCATATGATTTTAGTTTCCTGATGACTCTGCCATGGAAAACAATGATTTTTTTTTAATTTTAAAATTTAATTTAATTAATTCATATATTATTATATAATTTTATATTTTAAAAAAAAGTTCATATATTATTATATAATTTTATATTAAAAAAAAAAAAAAGGTGTTTGCCGGTCTAAATGAATTTTAAGTCTTAACTTGTAAGTCTTGAACACGTGTCTTGACCGACACAAACCAATTACAAAAAATCTTAGTTGGCTTATTATTTTGGTCCAAGACGGCAATCAGAAGGAGCAGGAAAATAAGCACTTGAGTAATTTAGAGAAAAGCCAAGCTAAGTCATCTAGAAATGGATGGTTTAAATCAACGATACTAGCTTTTGATGGAACCATCCATTGCATGAATGGAAGGGGAAAAATGGTGGGCGGAAGAGAAAAATAAATTAAAAGAAATTATGCTCGTGGAAGACTACAATGTTTTTATAACAAAAATAAAAAAAAGAAATGTTTTTATATATTTGAATGGATTTTTTTAAGCTATCATTCAACCAAAGGAAAGTAAAAAAAAAGAAATAATAATAATAATAACAGAATAGGTTTGAATTTCGAAAGTGCGACTTAAATATATTTTTTTTATTTTGTGTATTAAATTATGTAGTTTAATTTGTGAGTAATTATTTATAATATTTTTAACTCGTAATTTTTTTTATTTGATAAATTAGATAGGTAGATGGACTGGGGCTCACGCATTGTTTTTCTAATTGCTTGTTTGGTCAAGGCAGCCATTGCCTCGTGTCCCTATTATTCAATTCTTGCTTTAATTTGGTCATATCCAAGTATTCGAAATTTGAACTTCAAAATTGAGTGGAATATAAAGGAAATTTCACTCAAAGTTCTATTTACCTTTCATTTTCAGACATTTTCGTTTATATTTTATTGACTTTTCTATACAATATCATAATAGCACACATCATAACAGTACTTTGCCATAATTTTATATTTTAAAGTAAATAATGTAAAAAATAGTACAAATAAAATAATTAGATACATTTTATGGCTCGATCGAATAAAATAAAGTGATTTCAATGAGTAAAATTCAAATTCTTATAACTTTAAATATAGAAAAAGTTTTCAAACCTGAAAAGATATGATTATATATACAAGTCAAATACCATATTTATTTAATAAAAAAAAATAAAATGTGAGAATCAAGAATTCTATTCTTAAACTGAACTGATGTGTTGGGCTTAAGTTTTGGGCTAAATTCATCTAGACGAGAATTTCACAATCTGAACGTTGGTGTCAGTGAGCATCTTTAAGCCCATTAAAACTTAGAGCAAGTTATGGCTCGAGCCCAAATTATTGAAAGGATAAAGAATAAAACATTTTTACCTAATCATAATAATCTCATATGTTATAAAATCTTTGACTTTTTTTTTTATTTTTTACTTTAAAAGAATAAATAAAGACAGTATTGTCAATGTGACAAGGAATGATGCCAATTATGTTTCCTCTATTTAAATTCATAAATGAGCATAACGAGGTTTGCCTTGCCTGACTCTTTGAAAATTTCACAACAGGAAACAATGAACATATTCTGTATTCTTTATAATTTACGATGTTGTTCATTTTCATCCTTATATCAGCCTCTTTCTTCACCCTCTGCTTAGTGCCGATCGCTTGCCGACCTTTGTTCCTAAACAAATTTATTTGTCGTCGAACAACGTCTTCCTTCATCACCTACATCTGTTTCATCTCACAAGCAGAGAACAAACATGGCAGAAGAGAGTTCCGAAATTCAAAGCAATCAGGAACTAGTCCAGGCAACTGAATCAAATGAACAGGAAATGAACAGGTCGACCTCTGACGTGCGTGACATTTCCATGAAAATGGAGAGAGCAAGGGAGACTTACAGAACATATTCAAGGCTTGAGCGTAAGCCTACAAGACAGGAACTTTGGGCTTGGTATGCGTATGAAATGTGCTCTTACTTTGTTCATACAGTTCTTATACCCATAGTGTTTTCTCTCGTCATTAGTCAAATAGTTAAATTACCTTCTGAGCCACTTCGAGGATGGAGCAAGAGCGCCAAGGGCTTGACTTGTAAAATCAATGAAATGCAACTGTAAGTGTCAATACATATTTCTCAAAACATACTATCATTGACGCTTGACCCTAAATATTATTATCAACATTAGCATGTAAGGTTAAGGATTCTGATGCTTAAAATATTAGTTTGACTCGTATTTATATGATCAATGTAATAAAATGTTGAGTTTCTTATAATTGAGAGACACGCTTTGGGCAATTCTTGGTCATTGTTTGTTCTTATCTCTTGCCATACCATCACATGAAACTTCTTCAAGGCAATTCATAATCTGTGCGTTTAATTATAGGTACGAGCGACTTACTCGCCGTTCCATACCAATTGGCAATTCCAAAGTCTCCCCCTTAGAGTGGACTTCAATCTCTTGGGCAATAGGCCTAATTCTGGTTGGCCCTGCGCTCCGTTTCGTTTCCACCAACCTTGACCATGGCCGGAACCAGCAAGTTGTTGCTGGAGCTGCAACTGCCATTGGATCATTCTTTTGTCTACCCGTTGGATTCTTCAGAGTCACATGGATTTTCCCTCTCTATATTGCTCCAATCGTGGTTGCCATTACCGTTGCTACTGCCTCCCACACCCGTCATCATGGCCTAATGATCCAAGGTTTCACTGGACCAACCCTTCAAAGACATCAATTCCAAGTTCGAAGAGGTGTCTCAAGTTGGCTGTCGCTCTATGCCACTGCTGCCGGTTGCTTAGGCTCTGCTGTAATAGCAGCATTTGTATATTATATGCTTCGAATTAATGATAAATTTACCGGCCTGTGGGTTGTCTCGATTTTTAGTGGACTCAAGTGGTTAGCTGGAATAGTTCACGTTATTACCTTAAGGCCTGGGAAAACCATTGCCTCTTCTTTACCAAAAGACCATTTTCTCTCCATTTTTAAATATCATCATGGACTTGGAAGCCTTATTGTTGTTGGTCTTTCTTCATTCACATCAATGTGCATTTTCACAGGAGGGTTACTCTATTTGGTTGGTGAACTCTGCCTTAAGCCGGTGTTCTTGCTTTATTCCTGGTTGATTTATTTCATTTTCCCCTCAGTTTCTCTGCCACTACTACAACCAATTCAGCTTGTTTTAAAGACAAATGCTGTGAAAATGCATCTGCTTGGACTCATTTTATCACTAGTAACTTCGGGGACAGGATTCCAATTCCGAAAGGACAACTGGCAGAGACAACATATCTTGATTTTTGCGGCATTGCAAAGCACATCGACAGGACTCTTGCATGCTTTTGGCCGAGTTTTGTTGATGGACTCTTCACCAGCTGGGAAAGAAGGTGCATTTGCAATCTGGTTCTCGTGGGTGAAAATGATGGGAACTTGTTCAGGCTTTGCAGTAGCATCAGGAGCCGCTGCCGGAAATGTAGGAACCTCTTTTGGAATCGCATTCTGCACAGCCGCTGTTGCAATGGTGATTTCAATATATGGGAACATTAGCGACGTTGGAGGAGCCGTAGCTGCAGGGCTTATAAGTGAAGACGGCACGACGGTTTCTACACCCACCGATGGCTTGGATAATAGCAATAGCACTAGCACTAGCCACGGTGATGAGAATGCAACGAAAGAGCCTGTGGGCGAGGAAGCTGCATAGGAGGCAAAAGAAACAATAATTAAAGGGCATCGACTCTTTCTTTGTTTCGCTTTTTATTTTTGTTGCAGCGGATTATTGTCATTGTCAAAGCTACATGTGACCGCATTAGTACAGAATTTTTACGGGATTAATATGATGTCAATATCATTTATTTATTTATTTACGACGAATTTTATTTATTTTGATAAATGAAAAATGCAATTATATTAAGTAGCCTCTGCTTCCATCGCCATGGCAGTTCATGCTGTTTTGTCTCGTTAAAAGATAAGCAATTACTCTGTCGAGGGGCCTCCAACTTGGCATTGGAATTTCCAAACCTGTTTAAAATCTATTTTAAGTTTTGCATATTGGAAAAAGCCTTCTTTGTTGTCCTATTAATCGGATTTATCAAACAATTAAAAATCTTTGAAGAAAAGAAATTAAAAAGAATCTTAAAAGAGAGAAAGAAAATATAAAAGTGAAAAAAAATTGCTGCGTATGTTTATTTTTTTTTATTTAATTTTGATTCAATGTAAAAAATTATGACGAATGTGACTGAAAAATTTTGATGTGAAGCCATGATATTTTCTTCCACGAGTTGTATTTATCCTATGAAAGAAATATAAATTCTTTCTTAATTATAAATTACTAATAAACAAAAATAGGATTCCTTTTTATAAATTACTAATACACTATAATTACCATTCAAAACCCAAGTTATCAAACGCTTACAGGAGGGATACTAAAAAAACCTGACGTTAACGTGGCCATCAAAAAAGTGTTTATGGATCAAATTGGGTTTAGATGTTTATGTATGATAAATATATATAATTTTATTTTTAATTTATATATAATTTATATATATAAATAAAAATTATATATATATATATATAAATTCAATCCGAATTCAAATTTTAAATATTTTATTTAAGATTCATATGAAATTTAAATAAATTTAAAAATTATATTTAAATTCGATTAACGAACTTAAATTTTTTTATTTAAATTTTTTTAAAGATTAGATAAACTTTCAAATTTACACACATGATATAACCTTTGAACATGTGCGGTCACTTGCCTTTAATTAGATTAAAATGGCAGAGGTGACTGTTAAGAGGGATTTTGGAAGTTATCTTATCACAAATCACAAGAAAAATACTTGGTTGGATCACGCTAATCCCCGCTCTCAAGCACCCCCTTTCACAATTTCCTAAATCACAGCCTCAACCTCAAACTACGTTCTTGTTGCGGGAACGAAAGATTAAACGATGCAGAGATTGTGCACCAAGCTCCGCTGTTTGGCACTTCAATCAACCCAAACTCTTCCCCCTCTCTCCGCTTCTCGTCGCCTTCTCCATCACTCCTCTCCTCCAATCCATGATATTTCAACCAGATGGAGCTTGAAATTCCTCATTAACAATGCCGCATCGCCTCATCTCGCTGTCAACTCCTTCTCTTATTCCCCACTGCCTATCTCTCTAACCTTCCGACTCCTTTTCTTTTCGTTGGTTGCATAAATTTTATCTTTGATTATCTAACTTATGGGTTTATTTTTCTATAGTTTGTTCAAGTCCGGCATGTGTCGTCAAGAGAGCGAGCAAAAAGGAGGAAGCCTGTGACTCCACGTACTTCCAAAATCAAGAAAATTAAGATGAAATTTTACTCGTATGGTTGTGCTTTTGCACTCCCAATTTTTGTTTTGTTTTGTTTTTTTTTTTTTTGGAAATTATTTTAGGTTTTGTTTGGTTAATGGTTTAATTTGAATTCGATTAGGTCATATAAGTCCAGATTTAGGACAATGAGCGATGGGAATATTCGTCGCTGGAGGGAAGGCAAAAACCATAATGCACACATGAAGGTAATGTCATTTTGTGTTTTCCAATTTAATGTTCTTATTTTGGGTTCAAGTCATTTTTTGAGCCTTTGACAGTTATGTTAAAGTTAAACCTTCGTAGTTGGTTGCTGAATTGTGCTAGATATATGTATCATACTGGATCATGTGTTTGTGCCTTTGGGATGTGATGATGGGAGTGCAATGGTGTCTTTAACACTCCTTCAAAAAAAATTTTTTTTTTTCTTCTTAAAGAAACAGAGATTTTTGGATTTCATGTTAGAGTGGTTTGAGAGGAAATTTTAGGGTATTGATATGGGTTGCAGAGCATAACTGTGCTGTTAACTATTCAGTTACAGATGTATGAGTTAAATACTCTGGTTGTGTTCCGGTTATTTTGAAGCCTGACATTGTTGAAAACTTGAAATGCATCAAATCACTACGTTGTACATGTACTGCAAAATTTGTCCACCTTGATATGGAGCAGTGGTTTGAGGCAAGTATAAAATGGGAAGATAAAGAATATGAAGGCAAGCAGAGGCAAATGTTTATGGCTGGGCGGGAGGAATGATGTTGTGGTGTGAATGCACGCATGTATATTTCCTTTTATATGTTTTCTTATCTTCTGGTATGTTTATGTATGTTGTTTCATGTGGATCTAACACTTTATTTGTTTATTTAATGAAGTTCTTTCTAAATTGATTTCATTTAAAAATAGATTAGTCTGGACCTTGTTTGTTTTCAGAAAAATCCTCAAGATTGGACGGAAAATTTCTTGAAATAATCTATTATGGATAGGGACCTTTGGCTGAGGGCTGCAACATTGTTCTTTTGAATAATATGGGATTATTGTGTTTAAAATCTTTGTGCTTATTCCCACTTTGGGAAATGATTGTAGCCAAGGGAAATCAAGGGCAAGGGTTATAATACATGGGTAAGGTATGAGGCATAGTTGTTTGGGTGAATGGAATTCTCAATTATCAAGAAAAAAAGCATGAAGGTAGATATACACCTGGACGTTGGCTTATTTATGTTTATCACCGATTACCGAATAGTTGGAGATCATGAGATCTAATAAATTTTCCTCTTTCAAGTTCCAGCGGTATTGTACAATTAAATTTGCTTCTCTTCTTATTATTAAGATTGTCTTAACTCTGCTAAGATCTTAGTGGCAGATAAATAATTTTGAAAACGAATGACTCATCTTTCAATACAGTAACATTTTGTGTTCAATGCAGTCAAGAAAATCTAGACGGAGACTAAGACAACCTGCTATAGTACCAGCCGCATATGCGAAGGTGATGAAGAAGCTCAATTTTTGCGCTTAAAATTCCAGAATCCATGATCTTCAGACATGAAACAGGAAGGTGTATGCTTCTGCAGTTCTGCTCTTTCATTTGGCTCTCAGACTGGTTAAATTCAAATGTGTGGCACACACATGTAGTAGCTGGAGGATTGAGAAACAATGAATAAGGTTTATGTGAGGCTTTTGTTTTTATTAAAAATGTTGGATGCTTAGTTGATATTTTGGACTACTATGGACCATAACTGTTGATAATTCCTTTAGATTTTGTGGGGGGATTGTTTCATTTGATTTTGGTGTTGATGCCATACGTCACACAATCTCAAATATAATGAAATGATTTATTTCTTGTAAATTCTGTTTAACTGAGTATAAGGAAATCGAGAAATGTACCTCTATATTTGAAGCTTATATGAATTATGGTATATGAAGAAGGCCATGCAATGAGGACTAGAGTTAAAAAAGAGCTCAAATTAACGCAGACAAAGCTTGGAAAGAGGGTGGTTCTTCTGGCAATGCCCTTTGCTTAACTGACCCAACCTCAAGTTGTTAGCTTCATGATTAATCATGAGATGCGTATCTAAGTATTTGATCGCATCCAAATTCTTTTTGTTATTCCTTTTTCCAAATCTATACTAATAATCAAAATTTTTTTATTGAATTAAATACTACAAATCAAATGACATTAACTAATCAATTAATTTAAATTATTTAATAAATAAATGAATTGTAAAAAAAAAAAAAAAGTATTAACATTTAGCATCTATCAATTTTTTTTTAAAAAATTTTCTATATCTTTAATGTAATTCTTTTATTTCATATATTTCTATCATTTCTTTTCCTTAAGACAACGATATATAAAGGCTTAGAATTCAAAGGTATGTCAAAAGTCAAAACCCTTGATAGGGTTAACTGTTTAAGCCCTTGTCCCCATAGCTTTCGAGGCGCAAACAATGGCTGCCAGATTCTTGATTCCAAGGAGTTCATCCAAAAACCTCACTCAACTCTTTCTACCACGTCTCCAGTACTCTCACTTCCCCTCCACGCCCCTTCACTCTTTGATGCCTCGTCCCAGAAACTCGAGGGGCTTTTCCTCTGAACCTCCTGCTTTTGCCTCTGATAACCGCGTTCCTGCTACCGTCATCACTGGCTTTCTCGGCTCTGGAAAGGTTTTAATCAGTCATTTTCTTTTAATCAGTTTTATAAATTCATTGCTTCTCCCTTAGCTCCATCCCCGATTTTATGTATATATATTTTTTAAAAATAATGTTGAATGTTTTTGAATGCAGACCACTCTCTTAAATCATATTTTAACTGCTCAACATGGCAAACGGATTGCTGTTATCGAAAACGAGGTACTTGAATTTATTGTTAGATTTTGCATGCTGTAGGTTAGGCTTTTCTTTATTATTATTTTTGATTTTGATGAAAATAATAGAATTTATTTATAGCGAGGAATATCTCTTTTTCATTTTATATGCCCATCCCAAGAAAAAGGAAAAACATTGTTGCTAATTGTTTGAAGGTAATTTTCATTGAAATGCAGTTTGGTGAGGTTGATATTGATGGATCATTGGTTGCTAGTCATTCATCTGCATCTGAAGAAGACATTGTAATGGTCAACAATGGTTGTCTATGCTGTACCGTGCGCGGAGATCTAGTTAAAATGCTCTTGGAGCTGGTTAAGAAGAAAAAGGACAAATTTGACCATATTGTTATCGAAACCACAGGTATGTTACCATAATACCAGGTTTGTACTTGGGTTTCTGAGGGTTGAGTTACTTAGTTTATGAACTATGATGTGAAGTATGATGTAAGTTACTAGGTTTCGTTTTAGATGAATGATGTCTTAACTCTTTGTAAATGTCAGATTGAGGCTAAATGTAGGAGTTACCTGATTAAATGCATCCAACACCAATAACATACTCAAAGCTTCACCACTTTGTTTACTTGTGAAACTATTATTGCAGGTCTTGCTAAGCCATCTCCTGTTATAGAAACCTTTTGTTCTGATGAACTGGTTTCACGATATGTGAAACTGGATGGAGTTGTCACTTTAGTTGACTCAAAGCATGCCATGAAGCACCTGAATGAAGTTAAACCAAGATTTGTTGTGAATGAGGCAGTTGAACAGGTTGCTTATGCTGACCGTATAATTTTGAATAAGGTGAACTTTGATTCTCGTTTTAAATTTATATGCCCTTCTCTGTGCGTCTTGATGTTCTTCTATGGTCATATTAAGAGTATGGGATGAAACATTGAAGATATTTGTTGCTCTTCTATTTATAATGGTGTTAACTTGTTTCGATTGTTATCGCAGATAGATTTGGTCACTGAGGGTTACTTGGAGAAACTGACTGATAAAATCAAGGTACACATTCCCAATTTCCGTAATGTGTGAATTCTAATTTTGGTTTGACAATTTAATGGAGAAGGGAAATGGTAAATTAAGGAAAGGATTAGCATTGTGTTTTAATTGTCTCTGCTGAGTTTTCTATTTTCATTAGCACCATGCTAAAAGTCGAGGTTTTCTGTTAGTTGTATCTGTGGAAGTAGCATTAAAGTAACAACTTATGATTTTGGTGCTTTCCAGCATATTAATAACATGGCTCAAATCAAGAGAGCAAAATTTGGAGCTGTTGACATGGACTTTGTTTTAGGGGTTGGAGGATATGATCTTGACAGGTCACTTATTGCTATGCTCACTAGTTAACCATTTTAAAACATTTTATTTGCAATTATCTTTCCTGTCTCATGCAAATATATTAGCACTAGCTGTTTGTTCATGTTGTGTAGCTGATAGTTTTGCTAAAAGTTCAAAGTCCTTTATTTGCAGAATTGATTCTGAAATTCATGTAGATGATTCTCACTGTGGCGACCATCAACATGATAGGCATGGTAATATGTTGTCTTTTTGTATTTCTTTCCTTTGATTGTTCTTGTGGCTTTAACCTCCTTTATTTGTAATAAAAGATAATTTAAGAAAAATGGACATGCATATTGATGATCTTTAGGAATTGCATTTTTGTGGATAGCTTTCGTCATCCTTGTTTATCATAAATTCAAGGTTCTTCCCCTGCCACCACTCCTACCTCTTTCTACCTTTGCTTCTGTCTGTCAAATTAATGGTTCTTCTGTCATGGAGTTGTACCGAGGACAGCTTGAAATTCATTATTCTTATTTTCATTGTGTAATCTATTTTTTCTTATTTTTCTTTTTGACATTATAGGGCACCACAAGGAGCATCATCATGATCATTTGCATGATTCTGCTGTCTCTAGTGTTAGCATTGTTTCTGAGGGAACCCTTGATCTTGATGAGGTAAGACATACTTCCTAAAAGTGACCAATACCACTGTTAAGCTGGCTTTTCCAGCTTGGAGTGGACTTTCATATAAGGTCACAATTTGTAAGTGAATTAATATTTGAAGGGAGGATTGCTTGTGCCTGATAAAATTGGATATGTGGTATCCTGTAAAGTTGTAAATTTAGGGCCTGATTGTTTAAGTGTAAGGTTTGGCATGGATATGATTCTTACTTCACGATGATTGAGGGTCTGTGTTTGAAGATTTTATAGCTGAAAAGTCGAAATTTTGAGAAAATACAAACAAATATTACCATAATTCTTCTACCAAAAAATAAACTTGCATTGATCAATTAAATTTGTTCTTGTTAACTCTTTTTCTGGCAGTGATCTTATTGCTTCTCATTGGTCTAGTTGTTACATGATTGTGGATAAACCAGGTTGATGATTGGCTTCAAAGATTGATTGAAGAGAAAGGGGAGGACCTATATAGAATGAAAGGAGTCTTATCTGTGAATCGTTTTGATCAGCGTTATGTTTTTCAGGTTCCGATTCTTCACCCATGTTTCTAATTACCATCTGTTTACATTGGAGCTCCTTTCTTGTCCTAAAATTGTTAGTACTATGGCAGGGAGTGCATTCAACATTAGATGGCTGTCCGGGAAAAACGTGGGAACCTGATGAGAAGAGGACCAACAAGCTCGTATTCATAGGAAGAAATTTGGATGAAACTGCACTTAGAAAAGGTTTCAGAGGTTGTCTAGTTTGATTGAAAGCTAAATTGAGAAATTTTTCGACTACAGATAATTGGACAAGAATGGAACTACAATGCCAGACTTACTAGTGTCGTTGGTGCTTGTGTTGGTCCTTTGGTGCGTGGGTTCATCTTACAATTTTCAATTTGGTTTGTCAAAATTTAGGCAGGTTAAGGTCAAGTTAGATTGAATGCTGACCCAACGATTTTGGCCCTTTGTGTTATTTTTTCAACTTTGTATAATTGTATTCAACTTTATAAGACTAAGCAAATGTGAGAATTATATTACGAGGAAAAAAAATCAGGCTCTCTTTCCTTTTTTATTTTTCAATTATTTTTTAAAAATAACTTTAATTAATATTTATAAGTATGACTTTGACGATTTATGAATGTGTTTTATTATGGCTACAAATGACGATAAATAATAAGAGTAAAAAGATGTAAACAGGCAAATCCAAAATGGAAGGGCCAAAAAAGGGGATAGATTTGGACAGCTTTGGACCTCCTTGTTTGGTCGAAGCGAATATTCTACCGTCACTGCCAGCTCCCCGTTCTTGACAGGTATCTCGACACGTATCCCCTCTTGCCGAACCATTCATTTGGACGACCTCGGATGCAACCTGAAATGACCTGTACTTCCTCCATTGTGGGCCTGCAACGTGATTCCTCGAATATTCCATTCTTCTCGATCGCCGGTGATATTCCACGCTGGCACTGACGTGGCATCGCCAGGAACCCTATATACCAATCTGCTACGTCTCCCTCCTTTCTAGAGCCGCTTCTTTTTCTCATATATCACCGTTGGATCATCATCCTAGAAAATCTAAAAGATTAACGCTTAATGCAGACGTACACGGGAGAAGAAGAAGAAACTTATTCCGTTGCGTTTGTTTTCTTGCAATCATGTTTGTTTGCTTAAGATTCGTCGCCGAGCTTTCGTCTATATGTTCTTCATTTAAATTTAAAAATTCTCTGTCCGTGTCTCATTAAATAAATAAATAAATAACTTTGCTGACATATATATATATATATATATATATATATGAAGGTTGTAACAGCAAAAAGGGTGATTTCATTTTATATTCTTATTCTCAATCCAATTCTGTTTGACAATTTTGGCTGTGGATTTAAGGAGGAATAGGAAATTCAAATCACTTCGATTCAACCCAATTTCAGTTTAAAGAGAGAATTAAAGTGTATTTGCTTGATGAGATGGATAGATTAAGCTACGGCGGTGGCGGTACTGGTGCTGGTGCTGGTGGAGTGAAATACGGGTACGAAAATGGGGTGGTGATGACGAGAGACCCGAAGCCTAGGCTGAGATGGACGGCTGATCTTCACGACCGGTTCGTCGATGCAGTAACTAAACTAGGTGGTCCTGACAGTTAGTCTTCTCTGCCTCCTTATCCTGTTTCTTCCTTTTGTGTAAAAACATAACTTTTTACGATCAGATATCTTCGTTTTATGAACTATATATATATAAAACACAAAATTTGAATCTTGATGATACGACAAGAAGCAGGTCATAACAATTTCATACGAAGTACGCATTCATGAATTAATTACTACTATATCTTCACAAATCACAGCGATAAAATTGTAAAATGTAAAAAACTTGCTGTAGTTTTTGTTAAGTATAATCTTCTTATACTAAAATCCAAGTAAAATCAGTGAAGTATTTATTAGGTTGCTTAGTCGGGGGGGCATGTCTACATCCAAACAAGCCGAAGGCTAATTTACTGCAAATAATTGTTCACAAATATGTGAAAGCATTCTCTGAAAATTTTGGAATTTTTGTTTTCAAATGATTGTGAAATTCTAACTACATTCCATCTTTTCTGTTTCATAATTAATTAAAAAAACTCAGTACTTTGATTAGTCAACTTTTATTCTTAATGTAATGCTAAAAGCGGATTGAAATATCCCCTTCGCATAGCTTACAGTATAGTCTAATATTATTGAGAGATTCTACTTTCAGAAGCAACTCCAAAGTCTGTCCTAAGGGTAATGGGCTTGAAGGGCTTGACACTGTACCATTTGAAGAGCCATTTACAGGTATATATGACATGGACATTAATGCTTTCAAGTTTCATGTTTCATGTTTGGTTTTGCTTTTCAATTATTTTTGAAACATTGCACTGGGAAAATTTTGCTTAATTTTGTTGTTTTGTAGAAATACAGATTAGGACAGCAGGCACGGAAGCGAAATGCAGCAGACCAAAACAAAGAGAATGGTGGTTAGTTTGTCGATTAGTATAATTACTTCGACTTAAATTCTAGTAATTCACAATTATCCTTCCGCTGCGAATATAGGATTAAATCGACTATTAGTACTTGTTATGGTGATTACTTGCAATTCCTTATGTAGAGAGTTCGTATGTACAGTTTAGCAATCATTCATCAGGGACTATCACCAATTCGCCAAGAGCTGACAATGAGCAAAGGTTCAGCTCTATTTGTCATTTCTGTTTTATAACCAGAATCTGAGCATTTACTGTCAAATCAAACTTTATATAGCAACTAGAAATTGAGAACCTAGGGAGGATAGTTTCTTTTCAGATTGCTTTTTTGTGTGTCAAATGGTTCCATTTTAATTCCTAAGTGATAACGAATATGCGATGAAACAGACAAATCCAAATGGCAGAGGTACTGAAGACTCAGCTGGAAGTACAAAAGACATTGCAAGAGCAACTTGAGGTTAATATATCCCTTTTAAGGACAGAAGAGTTCTCATTCTTTTATCGAGCGAATCTGCTTGTTCAAGCTTGTAATTTCTATTAATGACTGTTGTTGAATTGATCTTTGTTAATGTAGGTACAGAAGAAATTGCAGATGAGGATAGAGGCTCAAGGGAAGTACTTGCAAGCAATATTAGCGAAAGCCCAAAAGGGTATCTCATTTGATATCATCAACTGTGAGGGGAATATTGTAGCAGAAACAAGAGCACAAATAACAGACTTCAACTTGGCTCTATGACTCTGTCCTATCTCCTGCAGAATGTAAATGAAGCAGACAAAAAAATCAAACATAATGCAGATGAATGACGTTTACAATAAGGCCAACTGTTCTGCTTTCCAAATTTATGGAGTGAGAGAAAGAGAAGAAACAAAGATGTTAAGATTAAAGGTGATGGAGATTCCATAAATTGGATTAAGTTTTGTTCAATGTTGTGAGATCATCTATTGCTTTAACCGTGTAGATTGCAACATCGATTGTATTCGTACATAAGAGCCACTGCAGGATCATCAACTAATCAATTAGAAATAATTGTCTCAACATCGATGGATCAATCCATTGGAACTTATAAATTAATTTTGTATTATATGTTTAATTAGAGGAATAATTAATTGATGTTTATTAGTATCTTGGTTGTACCTTTAACATTTCCGTTCCCTTAGAGATGGATAAACTGTCTTTAGGAGGAGTGAGTCTTTCAAGCTGTGAAAGGTCGCCGACAACAAAGCATTTGGCAACCACATAGGTGAAGGGGATGTTCTCATCCTCTATTCCCTTTTTTACAGCCATTTTTAAAAAAAATCAAATGTTACTCTTCCTGGTTCAAGTTCATGTCCCTGTATCCATACCAAACTCTGAACGCAAGAAACACTGCAATGCCAATGCAAATGTTTGTTTCTTCACATTAATCATTACTCGCCCAAACCAAAATTTAATTACTACATAATTCTGACATTGATGTTTCCTCAAATATATTATTAATTCATAGGGAAAATTGATGATCTAATAGTTAATGCAAGAAAGACGACATATTTTGAAATATATACTGTTCCTTGTTTGTTATTATTGCTTGTGTATGCATCCTCAATTCATATATATATATATATATATATATATATATATGAATTGTTTCACCATCGTTTGCTACTTTTCCTATATATATATATATATATATATATATATATATATATGAATTGTTTCACCATCGTTTGCTACTTTTCCTTTCTTTTATTTGTTTCAGCCAAGCATTTATTGGCTCAAAATTGTCAAACTTTCCGGCTTGATTGACGTATCAAGCCACCAACCAAGATATATGATGCTTAGTAGTTTATTCTTCTGGCAAAGCTGTTGAGAATAGTTGATTCAATTAAAGGCAAGGTCACTTCTTACCTGCTACGCCATGCCACGGCCTATCAAATTTAATAAAACAAAAACATGAATTGAAGCAACAGCATTTGTGAACCCAAAGCTTAGGGGATTCCACTGTTTAAAAAGCCATGAAGGAGATAACTGAAGAGACAAAGTGAGACTTAGAGTGAAAGATTAGAAGAAAAAGATGGCCACCAAAAGCAAAGTGCTCATAGTTGGAGGAACCGGGTACTTGGGAAAGAGGCTAGTTAAGGCAAGTTTAGTTCAAGGTCATGAAACTTACGTGCTGCACAGGGCGGAGATAGGTGTTGATATTGAGAAGGTGCAAATGCTCTTATCGTTTAAGCAGCAAGGAGCTCATCTTGTGCCCGGTTCATTTAGCGACCAGCAAAGCCTTGTTGATGCGGTGAAATTAGTAGATGTCGTTATTTGTGCAATATCAGGTGTTCATATCCGTAGCCACCAAATACTGCTTCAACTCAAGCTTGTTGATGCCATCAAGGAGGCGGGGAATGTTAAGGTATATATCTATTAGCCAAGATGTGTAGCTATATGTAGTTCAATCTTGCTGAAATATTCTAGTTTGATGGATGTAATTAATGCCACAGAGATTCCTGCCATCTGAATTTGGCACTGATCCTGCTAGAATGGAGAATGCTATGGAACCTGGAAGGGTGACATTCGATGACAAAATGGTGGTAAGGAGAGCAATTGAAGAAGCGGGCATTCCTTTCACATATGTTTCTGCAAATTGCTTTGCTGGTTACTTCCTTGGTGGTCTTTGCCAACCTGGTTTTATCCTTCCTTCAAGGGATCATGTCCACTTGCTGGGAGACGGTAATCAAAAGGGTAAGCCCATACAACTAATTATTAAGCTGTTACTTCTTGTGTAGGAGAAAAGTATATCAGTCTACTTTCGCCAGAGTAATTAACGCAGAAACTCATCATACAAACTAAATTAAAAAACTAAGGACGCCCACAAGCGATTAACTGTTGGTGTAAAGGCCGAGTTACAGATCTAGCAGTAACAACACAAACTCAAAGTGGAAACTAGTGTGAGAGATCAAGTCCTGGTGACATTGATACTCATCTCAAATATAGCCTAGAAAGTAGTATAATTAGACATAATAATTAGATAAAAATTAGAAATATTCCAATTTGTTCGATCCTTTTAGCTTTTGGTGATGATTTTCTTTTCCTGAAATATTGGACAGCAATTTATGTTGATGAAGATGATATAGCAACATATACCATCAAAAGCATAGATGACCCACGGACTCTAAACAAAACGGTGTACATAAGGCCACCCAAAAACATCTTATCTCAAAGAGAAGTAGTCCAGATATGGGAGACATTGATCGAGAAAGAACTGCTTAAGTCTTCAATTTCCAAAGAAGAGTTTCTGTCCACTATGAGAGGTGAGATTAGGTTAATATAATAATTTTATTTATAATTATTTGGATGATGCATGCTAGAAAAAAAATACCATTTAGTAATTAGCAAAATCTTTTTGTATTGTATTATATAACATATATTTTTAAACAATTAAGAGAATTTTTAAAAATTATTATATTAAATAATTATCAATTATCGTATTTAATAATAACGCATGTATTGCAGAACAAAATTATGCAGGGCAAGTTGGATTAACACATTACTATCACGTGTGTTACGAGGGATGCCTTGCAAACTTTGAAATAGGTGAAGGAGGAGAGGAAGCTTCTGAGCTTTATCCAGAAGTGAAGTACACAACTGTTGAGGACTACATGAAGCGTTACTTATAATTACTAAATAAATATGATTGCCATATTATTAATTAATGTCTTCCATATCATTTCCATAGTGGTAGCTCTCCTTCAGAAGGATGGCAATAAAGTGCAATTTGCAATAGATAGAAAAGTGATCCCTATCATGTTTTTCTTTTGTTGTTTTTCATTCCAGTATGATGATACTTGCTTGGGTTTATTTGAAAATAATGATGAGCTGTTATTTTCTTCTGCTTTTCTCTTTCGTTTTATTAGGTAACAGCAGTGCATTCAATATTTTCATATCCCATTATTTTCATTGATAAAAGAAAACAACACAAAAATCAGCATGCATTATTAATTTAGTAATATTATATTGTGAAAGGAGAGGAAGTCATGGTGATTTCACCCAAAAGACCCTCTGCCTTTTTTTTTTTCTTTTTTTATGTTCTAATATTGAATGCAACTTATAGTTGAATCTTGAAACGTTTGTAGCTGTTGATCCATCCTCAAATAACAATATGTTTAGAACAAACCCTGTTTATTTTTGTTTACTTTGAGCTGCCGGCCAAAGAAGGGAATTGATTCCACCAAAGCCGAGATTTAATCCTATCAGCATTATCGATACATGAAATTCGAGTCACATCATTATTATTTATTAAAATTATCTTGAATATATAATTTATAATTAATTATTTTAAATTATCAAATATAACATATTTTATCTAAATTTTAAAAAATTAAATAACCTACCTACCTTCAAATTTTATTCTTATAAAAAAAAATTTCCATCAGCATACCGCACGTATTACTCCCCACGATCATTCCTACGGATGCAAATATCATGGTGGACCTTTGTCTATGAAAAAGTAGGGGATAGGCCCAGCCAGGGCCAGTCAGTCAAACTCCGATAGATTTTTTAAAAAATTTTTTTGGCTTGAATAAAAATATAAATTAGGTAATATATATATATATATATATAAAGTAATAACAACAGAAACAAATGATGGTGGCTGCTGCAATAAAACACATGGGGCAACAAATTTGTGAATGATTCCTTTGTGATCTCCGTCACTTTTTGTTCCTCTTCCTTTTATAACTTTCTCTTTCTCCCTTTTATAACTTTCTCTTTCTCAGATCCCCACTATCTCTCTCCCTTTCTTTTTGGTTTATTTTAGTGTTTTTTTTCTGCATTAAATTCAGTGAATGATTTTTTGTTGAGTTTTGATTTGGAGATGCTTTGGAACTCAATCATTCTTGTAAGTACTTTCATCTGTAACTTCTGTTTCTTTTCCTCTTCCTTTACTTTTTTTTTCTTTTAGTTTTGTAAAAAGAAAAATCAATTACCCATAAAAACTTACTTTACAGAAAGTTCCGCCTCTGCCTTTTTCCCTCTGTGAAACTTTTACCAGTTTAGTGGTTTTGTCTGCATTGTGTGGCTATACTTTTCAAACAGATGTGGATCTGTTTTTCTTTCTCTTTTTTCATGATTTTCCTCCACTAATAATTTCTATTGGGATTTTCATTATTTACTTTACTGTTTTTTTTCTCTAATCTTAAAAACCAACAAGATGAAAACTTTGACTTTGAAACTTTAAGTGAAGACTTTTGATGCAGAACCAAAGAAACAAATTTGCCTTAATTTCTATGCCTTATTTTGGTTTCAAATTGATTAATTGAAAACATTAGTACAAGTTTGTTGCAGTTTTTAACCTTTTAGCATAAAAAGTTTGTTCATTTTTTCATTTATTTTTTCTGTATTTCCTCGTCAGCTAATCAAATCTGACACAGACGTTCACCAAATTTTTGTAGTCTAATGCAATAAGGCCAAGTTGTTCAAAGATTTATCATTTATCTAACTTTTGAAGTCTTCTATAGAGTTGATTAAATTCAATGTATGAACACAAAAACTGTTTATTCTTTGAAGCAGAAAAGAACAAATCTTGAATTGATATAACAAGGAGAAGAAAGTGATAGATATATCAACAAAGAGATGGGATCTTTCAAGGGTCATGCTTTGCCAGGGACTCTGTTTCTGATGGTTGGCGTATGGCACATATGGAGTTCTGTGGTTCGGTATGTGTCGAACCCAAAGGCTTTTGAGGTCAGAGTGTGGAACCCAGTTCCTGGATTTGATGGGAAGTTGAAGTACTTGGAGCTTTATGTTGTAGCAATTGGTGCTTTTATTGATTTGTGTATTGAGCTTTTGTATTCAACCCACCTCAAGTTTTTTGTCAATGGAGTCTTGAACCCATCACACTTGAATGATTTTGAGCATTCCGGGATGCTTCTCATGTTTTTCCTCTTAGGTGCTATCGCCCTACTCTCAGATAAAACGAGGTTAGTCATGGTCTTTTCATCTTTACATGGCCTTCTTTGTGATGTAATAATAGCCTATGTTTATTGTGCAAAAACAAGGAAGGGGGAGGGGTGGGAGGTTTTTCCCTTCATTTATGTTTGCTTTGGAATGGTAATGAAGACCATTTGATTTCATTCTTTAATCGACACGAAGGTTTCTTTATGCAAAACATTATGGTAATTGAAAGCATAGCAAATCTCCGTTTAGAGAATCGATAAGAACTGTGGACATTAATCAATGAGAAAACAATGACATGATCATAATTGCTTTAAGGAACAAATCTTTCTCTCGATCTTTTTATTTTGTTTTTGAATAATTTAACAATGCTGTAATCATTATAGTGGCTGCCACTTGTTTTAAACTTTGAATCGCCACGCTTTTTTTGATGTTAGATTGCCATTATTATAATTACTTTATGTGTGAAATCGTGGTTTTTGCTTGCCAAATGTTTACTCTATCTCATAAATACTTTTTCATTTTTAATCTCCACTTAGCGGTCAACATTTAATCATTGCGAATGTTGATATTTTACCATTTTTCTTGTTAAATATAGCTAATATTACAACCATTTTCATTGGAATCTCTTCTAGCTCAGTTTTGTTTGCTTATCACAAGGAGCCCTTTGTCTTATTGCGGCCGCAGCATTCTGTGCGGAGTGTCTGCTATTCTACTTTCACTCAACCACTCACAAGGGCCTAGAGGGATACTACCATCTTGTCCTTGTCCTTTTAATAGGAGCTTGCATTTTGACAACTGTTGCTGGAGCTCTCTGGCCAAAAAGCTTCCCAGTTGATTTGTGTAGTGGAATTGCTATAACCCTCCAAGGGCTCTGGTTCTATCAAACTGCTTTCACCCTCTATGGCCCCATGATGCCAGATGGTTGTCAGCTCAAGGGAAACGAAATATATTGCCATCCAACAGAAAGTGAGGTTGCAGGCGAGTTGCTTGCTAACTTCCAGCTCTTCTCTCTGGTACTGGGTGTCCTTGTTGCTGTTGTGGGATCATATGGCTTTGCAGCTTCAAGATATGGGAATTCTGATCTTAACAGGCATACATTCAATTAAGGATGGATGAGAGTCTTCACTTTGGATTTAAATTAATTTTAATCTTTTAACGGATTTCACTTGAAGCTATTAACTTTAGCTGGTGTTGGTTAAAATCAAGCAGAGCCACTTCTAAGTGGAAAAGGGAAATGGAAGTATGTTTCTAATGGATAATAAGCTAATGACACATGACAATCTTGTCATACTCTGAAGTTTAATACATTTTTAAAATGCCTTTACAATCTAAGCTTTATAAAATCTTGTTTTGATGGTAGATTTTTTTCTCTAATTAAAAAAATATATATGTTTCTCTTGTTAATATGACTAGAGAGAAAACTTCTCTGCTATTTCACAGGCTTCCGATACTGGGAGAGAGAGATGAACATGATTGAGAGGACATTGGCTTTTCATGGTTTTGGAGATACTCCATGCAGTATTCTGTCGTACATGTAACTTAACAATTAACGGCATTTATATTATTGGCTTATCAAAATCTAAAGAGTAATCATGTGATTTGCAAAGGTTAAAAATCAATTATATACCTGAATTCAATATTCTTTTTCATGCTGATTATGGTAACTCGTCTCTCTTTCTTATCTCATTTCATTTCCCTTTGTTATGCTGTCTATGGAATTTTTGTGATTTTGAATTTTATAAACCGAAAAACATTTTATAGATACAGTTTGAAATAGATGCATACCACTTTTCTTAACTACATATATATATATATATATATATATATATATAGTACTAGAATTCCGATAGACTTTAATTTATAAAAATAACACTCAGTACAAATAATCATGCAAAAACATTTTAATAGTATAGAAATAGAGATTTTTGAAGTCATAAACTTTATTACTTTGGCATCCCTAAAATATAATCTTTCTCAGGATCTCCAACCCTATATATTTAGTAGGGGGCTATGATGGATTCTATGAGCTCTTGAAGTGGGGCTAGCTCTTTCTTGTCAATCAGCCCGAATTCCTGTACATGTAAAATCAACAAACTGAATTAACCTAACAACTTTCTAGTCAACTAAGCATTCTTGCATCCTAGAAAGAATGTTTCAGAGATAACCATTTCAACCCTCACCACCTGCGCTTAACTCAAGTAGTTAGTAGGTGAGGGTTGGGGTAAATATTTTAAACTTGAGCTACTTAAAGAGAACGAAAAAGGAAAAATATAAAATTTTGCCTATCTTTCATTCCTCAACTAAAACTATATTTCGGGTTTTGTTACCATGACAGGTTCATCTGCGGAAACCATTGTACATATATAACCAGGAACAATGACCGCTAGGAAAATTAAGGGCAACCTTACACTTAATACCCTTTGTAGTTTCAAAGAATAATCTTCTAGTTGTTCTAGCAGTTGCATCAAACATCTTTAAGCTATTCTCCTTTAGTTTAAGGGAAATTGCGTGCACCCTCTTCTTTCTCTTCCCTCTTTTCCCCTTTCATATTTGAATTGGGTTTATCAAAGAAATTGTACAAAGCAAAATAAGCAAATCTTAAAGATAAGAGCATCCATAGGTAAAAGAAACCTTACATACTACTTTTTCAAAAAAAAAAAAAAAAAAAGAGAACAGTTTAATGAATGAGTAAAACTAACCATATAGCAACAAATTTAAAGTAGAATTATTCAACACCACGACTGTAATTTAGTAGTACTAGTATATAAACAATTGGATTTTATTTAGTTGTATAAAATGGGATAATATTGACAGAGGCCTACCTTGAAAAAAAAAAAGGCAGAGAATAAAAATAATTAATTATCAAGCAAAAGAAGACTTACACAAGTAAACAGTATGAAATGCTTGAAGCATGTGTTCAAATGGGCTTCTTCCTTAAGGCTCACAATTTTCTGAAAGTGAGAGTGATAGATGTGGGCATATACACGGAACAGTCTTTTGAATATTGTCTTCACCACCTCCTTGAAGTTGGGAGGAAATGGCGAACCTAGCAAATTTGATATATGCGGTTAAACAATAGGAAAACATTTAACATAGATACAATAAAAAAATAATTCCGTTTCCCTTTTGGACAAGTATAAATATTAGAAAAAAGTTAATCAACACTGTTGTTATCATACATAGATAAACAACTATATTTCTCTATGTGACAGTATGTCAGACTTCATCACTAAGATTTAAATATGATTAAGCAAAAAACAGATGAAGATTTTACCCAGCTTTTGAGGAAATATGGATTCATCATCAAGCTGTGCTTCAATCCAGTCCATTAGATATTCAACGTATTTTGGGGCAGAAACCTCGATAGGTTTCTTGATTTGCACACCATCAGCCCATCTATATTCATACCTGTAACGTTTTGTCAGACAGCAAATAATCAACTCCAGAAAACCACAATATACACTTTGAAAGATTTTTAAAAGGGAGTAGACTAAATTAAGGTGTGCAACAGGCAAGTGTGGAATTATTAAATTGATTGAACAGACAGCAAAAGGTACAAGAACCAAAAATGAAAACAAAATTTATGGTAATTTGGGGGGGGGGGGGGGAGAAGAGGATCCAAATTTCATAGTCACATTCTGCACAAGTTGTAACCAATGGACAGAATCAAATGACTACAAGGACTTTGACTGTTGGAACAATTTTAGCTACAACAGATTTGATGTCTTTCTACAGACCATTGAAAATGTAAGGCAAAATTCAAATTATTATAAACTAGGACTAATGAAATCAATAAAAACATGATGCACAGCTCACTCTCGTCCCACTTGTCAAACAAGATTATATTATATATTCTTTCATAATTCAATAAAATTTGGCAAGATATGTATTTTTAACAAAACTAAATAAATGCAATTATCGTGTATGTTTCAAATAGATAAAGAGCCTAAATTTAAATCAAGGAAGTTCTGCTTTATCTTGATTCCATGGAGACTTGATGCATGCATCATTTGAGATAAACACTTTTGATATCACCAACAGATCCAAATATGAAAGAGGTCATACAGCGTGATGAAATATTTAAAATTTAGGATTTGTCCAACTAATTATTGAAGAGGGCAAAAGGAATTTGGAATCTGGTTTGATATGTCATACTTAGGGCCTGCAGTCATTGTAGGACAGTTCTCAGGAGTACAAAACTCTGTGAGGGTACCATAGAGTAGATTCACCTGATTGAAGAAATCCACAGCTGAAACAGATCCAACAATTATGCTTTAGCAATTACCTTAAAAAAAAAATTGGCAGTAACCTAGAAATAGGGAAGAAAATGTACTAAAACATTCTACCAAAATACTAATAAAATTAGCAGTTACAACACCAATTAACAGCATGCCCATACTAAAGTAGAATATTCACGGATAGATTAGATACACATTACATGGTTTTGCAAATAAACATAAGGAATTATTCAGAATGTGTGCATGTGTGTGTGCTGAGTGTATGCGAGTAAGAAAGAAAGAGAGAGAGAGCGAAAGATACTGTTGACTGCAAGCCATTCATTTAAATCCTCCCCAGGAGGTAGCCTTACTGCTTCCCTTAGGTTTCCACTGCCCAGGGTGGCATCAATGTGCTTTTTAAGTTGTGCACCCTGCATTATGTCAGGATTACAGTACTTGGATGAGAACTGCAAATTCTGCTAAGCCACTAATATAGAAGAATGAAGTCCAGAAAGCATTTTATATAAAGACACTATAAAGAAGCCAGCTCTCAAGAACTGGAGAGAAACCTCAAAAAGGCTATTCAATTATTGTCAAGCTCAGCCACACAGCAGTACTAACCATGTTTAGATATAAATCCCCATATAGTAAAAAAAAAAATAAAATCACATGTAATACGTGTGTACATCGCCCTCAAACATCCATGAGTGGGTCCCACAGGTGGGGCTGCAGGACCGTCGTGTAAGTCAGTAGAGCATTGAAAATTATAGTAGTAGAACTTTAAACTGAAAATTTACGTAAAACATCATAACATCAAGTTATTTTTCGAATAAGTGATTTCAAAAGCAATGAAATTTATTAAATAGAAAGGTCAACGGTAAAGTGACCTTTTTCTCTACTTTTTTTATAGGCATGGTGAAGTGAATTCTTACTTTACAAAGAGATAAATAACAAATTTCAGAAATAATGGCAACCATTTAAGTAGCTATAAACCCAAGAAGTAGAAGAATCAGCAAAGGGCATTAAATCAAGGATTCAGGAGCTTCTTTTCTTAGTTTGCTTTGCAAATAAAGCCAACTTTCTAGGGGCCTTTTTAGGATTTTTGGATGCATTAGATCTTAGGTGTTAAGTTGTGCTCACTTTTATTTTGTTTCTATTTCTGGACAGTTGTAGCATACTTCCAGTGTGCTAAAGTTGCATGCTCACAACCAAGAACTTCATAAGTCATCAAAAAGAGGAAAAAAATTATTTCCCAAGGGGGTAATTGAGAAGGTGGTCACATTAACAATCCAACAGATTCAAGCACAGTGTAAGAGAACATATCACATCAAAGTCTAACAAGCAGGAGATGAATAATATTAATTATGTTTTATTAAAGAAAAAAAGGAACAAAAATAACCAACCTTACTTCCTGAAGGTGCACTTTTTTTTGGGCGGAATGTTCGTTGATTTCTGTTTTCAGAGCAATCTATTATCAGGAAAATCATAACTGAAAAGATACACAAATGTTTAGCAGCTATGCTGCTCAGACTTGGGAGTGAGAGCCAGAAACATATACATACATCCAACATAGGTAAGTTCAATCTTTCACAAATTTCTGTTTTTCATATATTTAGAGGATTATACACAAAGCTTGTGTGCATTGAAGGTAGTTCATATGTGTACAGCACGGTACACTAGGATAAAGATTCAAAGTAACATGGTTCAGTGGAATTCAATCAAAGAAAAATATAAAATTGATTTTTTAAAAAATTAAAAAAACACACATGCATGCACACACACAATGTTTTATTTATAAGAGGGAAAAAAACACAACATCAGTAGAATAATTGTACGTTTCTCCTTTGATAGCTTGAAATAGTGTATAATACTGATCAAACATACATGAGCACGTATAATCCTTTGAACTTAATTAATAAATTGGTTTTTGCCACATTAATTAGCTTCCTTTGGACTACCTTTTTACATTCCTGTTACTTTTCTCTCCGTTGATTCAACTTTCAGAACTTCATTCCACCACCTCGGGTCTTCTAACAATGGCTGCAAATTGTGAACAGACCTAATTTGCTACTCACTTGGTATTCAGCTTCAAGATGCAAAGCTCAACAATCTCAATTATGGCCATATAGATTTTAAGGTAAAAAACCAATAATATAGCATATGTTCACTCTTTTGACCTTTCTAGCGTTGTCATTTACAAAAACCACCCACGACAGCATAGCTTTTAATCATAGTTCTAACACCAGGCCAACTAATCATAAGCAATCAGAACAAATCATTAATTGCATGACATCAGAACATGAAGACGAGTTCAACATGCATTAAGGTTCACTATCGTTAATGTATAGCCTTCGATTTAATTAACATGTAAGCAACACTTTTAAAGCAAAAACCATAACTAATTATCAAAAGCACAGCTAACCATAATGGCTCTAACAAAACAATCGGATTGCAGTTACAGTTAATAGAGCAATCAAAGAATCAGGGAGCGAAATTAGGAAGGACAAAAAGATGAGTTCATCAATGATCTTGGATCAGAAAAAGGCTGCAGAATTATAACAGATCTGACATAATTTATCAAAGCATCATTGCATATAAGCAAAAAAAATTAAGGAAAAGAAGAGTAATTAATAGGAAAATAATTAAGAAATTTAAGAGAAAATTTAAAAATAAAAAAGGAAAGTGAAATTTGTGACTCACCTGCCCAGACCGAAGAGACTCATGGTTAGAGAGAGGCTTTGATTTTCCTTTCAGGTGAAGACCTGAAAAATCCTCTTTTTCTTCTCACCTCCCTTTTATCTCACTACTACTACTACTTTTTTTTAAAAAAAAAATTAAATTATTATTCCTTGCATAAGCTTATTCTTTATGTCATGCAATCGGAGCACGAATAAATAAATAATAGTATAGGGGTGTTTTGGAATTTGGAGCAGAAACAGGTGGGCCTTGGGGGCAGTTTTAGGGGATTTTACCTTTTGGATTTTTTTGGGTTGGCTCGCCTTTGGGCCGATGTAAATAGAAGTTAACGAGTGAATTAATATTTCAATATTTTCAATATTTCAGCAATCAAACAACTATAATGAAATTTATTATATAAGAAGCATATAAATTATTAAAATTAAAATATTTTTATTTTTTTGAAAATAAAATGTTTTTATTTAAACTAAACAAAAAATTACTCAAAGACTCTTGGCCAAAATCATGCACCAATGTTATCTGCATTGTCCATTTTAATTTATAAAGAAAAATTGAAATACTCTTACTACTGCCTAGTATTATCTTGTTCAATTCAAGTGACTCATAAAATATTTCATGAAAAAAAGGAATCATACCACACTAGACATATAAATGCAGATCATACTGTCATTTAATAAATTAAGTTTTTTTATGATTTTTTTTTTTTTTTGTGATGAGTTGATAGAAGGTTAAATGTAAAGTAAATCCTAATATATGTTATATCTTTTAGAGGATATATATTACTCTCAAAATTGAACTTTGTAGACCAAATTAATAAACTTAAAGCATGCCATGCCACTAGTGTTAAAATCCTCCAATAACATCATTTTTTTCATGTTGTTGTCTAAGGCAAATAAAACTCAGGTTTTTGACGTGAAAGAAGAAGGATTCTCGAATCCCATTTGCAATGGGATTCAACTAGTTGTAGAACGATCTTCCAATTCTCCCCTCCACGCCCAAATATTCATTCAACCCCATCACACGCTTCTCCATAAAAACCCTAATAGCTATTAAGTAGTTCCATCCTAGCTGGTTTCCCTGGTAATACGCTGCAAATATCCCAGAATTTAGCCATGTCAATCCTCTCTGATTACACAGAAGATCAAGAAAACAATTCTTCTTCTTCTTCTTCTTCTTCTTCTTCTTCTCCTTTGTCTTTCAATGCAGTTCTTGACCCTTCAAATCCTCTTGGGTTTCTTGAATCTGCCTCTAACTTTGTGTCTCAAAACTCTCATATGTTTAAGGCCGGTTCTGCCGAGAAGAGAATATTGTCTCTGGTCAAGAATATGAAGGAAAGAATAATCAAAGAAGAGGGTGCAAAGAAAGAGCAATAGAAGAAAGAAAAGGAGGAGCAGGAGAATAAGAAGCTAACCCCAAACAAAGCCAACGGTCTTGACATGGAGAACCATTCATGGGAACAAAACCTGCAAGAGGTGACTGTGAACATTCCAGTCCCTCCAGGGACCAACGCCTGCGACGTTTTGTGCTATGTAAAAATGAATTATTTGAAGGTTGGGCTAAAGGGTCAGACTCCCATTATTGATGGGCAGTTGTTTGAGGCTGTGAAACCGAACAATTCTTACTGGGGTTTGGAGGACCAAAAGATGATCTCTCTGCTATTGACCAAGTGCAACAAAGCCAATTGGTGGAAATCCTTGTTGAAGGGAGGTCCGGAGATTGATACTCAAAAGGCAGAACATGAGCCAAGCAAGTTGTCTGATCTGGACTTGGAAACGAGGTCCACCGTCGAGAAGATGATGTTTGATCAGAGGCAGAACCAGCCAAGAGATCGAAAACCAAGATATGCTCAAGAAATTTATGGCTCAAAATTCGAATTTTGACTTCTTCAATGCTAAGATGATATAGATGGTCAAACTGAGATAGGAAACACAGCTAACCTTTTTAAATATTTATCTCTTAGCTCCGTAGGGTTTTTTTTTTTTTTAATAGAATCTTTTTAACATAGGTTCTTCAATAATTTCTCTAAAAACTTTTAACTGCGCTGATCAATATATTTATCTTTGCTTTGGTTCTTCTATCTTTACATTGTGCTTGAACAAAAGACTTTTGCAAGCCAAGAATAACCCCGATCAATACAGTTTGCAACCAGAATGGCAATAGGCAGAACTTAACAGAATCTCCAAAGAAAAATTACACTGACAACATACAATAAGAAGATTAATGCCATTTATATATAATATAAAAAAGAATTATATAATATTGTTACTTACGGTAGGATATATTTTATTGTTGTAAAAATTATAATAATTAAATGGTAAATATTTATTTCAATGGACTAATATGATATATAATTTATTGATTTTTTAATATTGTGATTATTTGATATGATTTGAATGGAATAGATATATGTTGATGTAGAGTTTCTTATTTTATATAACATATCTAACATATATATATATATATATATATATAGACTAAAAATTAAAGCAGTATATTACTGTACTCTGGATAACTAAATTACACTCCAAACAAAACAATGGCTCCCTCCACAACAATAACATTGTCCTCTTGCATTTTTAGCATATGACAATCTACAAGTGTCCCTCCTCGTAAGCCTTATCAACCTGATTGACGGGGTTAAGATAACCTTCCATTATCTAGTTATTGATCAACTAACTCATTGTAGTGAAGCCACCATGTTTTCTTAAGAAGTGCAACTATGCCAAAAGCAGTCAATCATACAATTGTCAGGCTCCTTATCATATGTGTAACGCATAAGCTGTGGCAGATCATTAATGGCTGCCTCCATGAGACGTTTCAAGTCCCAGTCCCCAGAATTATCTTTTTCAATGTAATTTAAGGTTCCAATTAACATAAGGGTTTCAGCAGGCAAAACCTTGATCCCTTGCTTAATCCACGTGCATAACTCTTTGAAGCCTGGAGAACGCAAAACTTTCATACCAACTTTAATATTAACAATTTTAATGCCTCATAGACGTCATACCTAGAAAGAGGGTCAAGTTCATACTTCCTCGATCCCTTAGAACTATCATATCTTCGCTTTTCCCTCTTGTGATTAGAACCTTGAATTTCTCTTCATAATTCATGCCAAAGACATCTTCCAGACCTAATATATTCTTGATAAAAATCTCCATCGATTTCTTCTTTTTGATCATTCTCAGTCATCATCTCTAGCTGATCATCCCAAACCAATAGAAGAAACTTGTGCGCTTTAGCGGCCGCTTCAAGCTCTTCACATTTTTCTCGGTTGTCTCATTTTCACCATCTTCCTCCCTTGCATCTGTACTGGTAGGGAGAGAAAACTCACGGGCAATGGTGTAAGTACATACACACATACATATTACTCCAAATCTCCAATATACAAACAAAAGTGAGGTTATTTTGATTTGTTTGGTCTTTTCGTATGGTAAGCCGCAGGCCACAGCTTAGTAATATATAAAAATAAATAAATAAAAAAATACTTATAAGGGGTAGTAGATTAGCTAGGGTTGTGCTTATTACAAATATATATATAGATAGATAGACACACACACTAATAACAAAGTAAACAAGTCATTGTTTATTAATTTAATTCAAGTTTTTGTTGATGAAAAGGAGATGTGACTTATGAGTTGGCACAGATTTTTCATGGACGGATAATGACAAAAATAGTTTAAGTCTCGTTCCCATAATTTAAGTACATTTTTCAAATATATTATCATCATACAAAATCAAATTGCAATATTTATTCCATTTAAAAGGAAGGGTGAATTCCAAAAACCCCTGATAATGCAGTGAAAAGCTACTAAATCCCTTTTGTTTAAAACAACTATTTACCCTTTACTTTAAAAAAAAAAAAACAACTCTTTACCCCTTACTTTTAGTCAAATTGTTGTCACCACAACCACATCATCCAAAAAATCGACGAGTATCGTTTTTAAACAAAAATGTCTTGTTTCATTCTCAGTTTTCTCTTCTTAGTCTTCTTTGTTTCACAGTCGTCAACTTTGTACGCCAACCACCTTCTTTTCTAGACTTATTTATTTTCAGTATTCAGCTATCATTCTCTCTTTTTATTCCTGAAAATGTGTATCATATGATGTTGTTTTAAATTAGTGGATTGCATTATTATTGGTACTCTTCCACTTATTGTTTGTCAATGCACTTACCATTGTTATTTCTCTTCTCAACTTTTTCTCTTTTTCCCTTTCAAATTACCTAAAAATAAAATGCATTTAAGACGTTTGTTGTTATTATTATTTTAATTTATTAGTTATAGATTTAATTTCTCATGACTTGCTGATGAAGACGATGATTGAGTTGCGTTTTAATTGAGGGGTTTGATTTGGTGAGTTGATTTCGTTATATGATGATTGGGTGATTGACAAAGACTTTGTATCACTGAGTTAAATTCTACTATGCACTAGCAGCACTACCAACTATTAGGGTTTTTTTTTTTTTTTTTTTTTTTGTGGAGAAGCCAATTGGTGTTGAAAGAATATACAGGCGTGGGGAGAGAATCAGAAGATCATTCTAGAAGAACTTCTCAAATCCTAGTGCAAATGGAATTAGGAAATCCTTCTTCTTCACGTTCAAGATATTCAATTGGTATTAGGTTTTGTTATGATATTGAAAAAAAAAAATGAAATAAACACCGTAAAGAGCAAAACAAGAGATATGAGTTGGGAACACACTTTGGTACTTCATTTCATTATCATATCATTTATACAAAATGTTAGATATAGTAGTTAAGATATGTCTCCTTATTCCAAAAGAGATTCACATGGTTTTTGACTAAACAATTAACACCATTATAAGATTTCAAAAAGTTAACATTGTAATGGATAAATTTTCAAAGGTATTATCCTACTATAGGAAAATCTCAAAGTCTAACACTCCTTCTTGATATTTTTCTTTGAAACTCCAAGTTTAGCCTTAAGAAATTCAAACCTTGCTTTTGGAAGAGCTTTGGTCATTATGTCAGCAATCTGACACTAGAGTTGCAGTGCACTAAATTTACTTCACCAAGTTTTTCAGTTTCTCTAATTGCATGAAATTGCACATTGATGTACTTAGTTCTGTCATGTTGCATTGGATTCTTTATGATGGCTACAGCAAATTTGTTGTCAATCTATATTACAGTAGCTTCATTTATTCATTGCTCCGAATTTATTAAAACTTTTCTAAGCCAAATCGCTTAGTTGCTACTGCTGCAACAAAAACACACTCAGCTTCAGCTAAGAATTAAGCCACCACATCTTGCTTTTTGAATTCTAGGAGAAAACACCACTACTTAAAGAAAAAACATAACTTGAAGTGCTTTTGTAATCATCCACATTTTTTGCCTAGTCACTATTTGCATATCCTTCAAGCTTGTGGCTTTCATTCTTCAATTACCATATTGCATAATCAACTATACCTCTGATATATCTCAAAACTCTTTTAGCCATACCATTGTGAACTTGACTAGGAGATTGCATGAATCTTGAAAGCAAACTTGCTGAGTACATTATATCAGGTTTAGTGGTTGAAAGATACAACAAACTCCCAATTAAGCTTTTGTATATAGAAGCATCAACCTTGCTTGCCATGTTATTCTTTGACAATTTTTCATTAGCCATTGATTTGCACTTTTCTATATTCAAGATCTCCAAAACATATTTCCTTTGTGAAATGAAAGTCTCAATATCATCTTGATGGATTTTCATTCCAAGAAAATATCTTACTTCGGCTAAGTCAGACATCTTAAATTCTTTTTCCATATTTATCTTGAATTGCTTCAGAGAACCTTTATCACCACTAGTGACTAACAAGTCATTCACATATAATGACACAATAAGCTACACTTCAGTTTCAAACTTTTTTGTATATAGAGTAGCTTCACTTTTACTTCTTTTAAAGCCTTATTGTAAGAGATAAGTATCAATTCTGCTGTACTAAGCCTTTGGTGCTTGTTTTAGTCCATAAAGAGACTTGTGAAGCTTGTAGACTTTATCTTTATTGCCTGCAACGTGAAAACCTTCTGGTTACTTAACATAAATATCCTCTTTATGCAATCCATTTAAGAATGTTGATTTCACATTTAAATGATAAATTTTCCATCCCATTTTTGCTGCCAAGGCTACTAAAAGTTTGATTATATCATGGTGTATAAAAAACCAATACCTTGTTATTGTGAATAGCCTTTAACAATTAATCTAGCTTTGAGTTTGTTTACGGACCATCTGGATTTAGCTTGGTTCTGTAAACCCATTTTACTCTAATCATTTTTTGATTGCATGGGTCTATCAACAAGTTGCTAGGTTTTATTTTTCCATATCATATTGATTTCCTCTTTTATAGCAGCCCTCCAATCATTTATTTTTGTAGCATCATCATAGCTTAAAGGTTTCAAAGTAGCTAGATTACATCTGGCGTAGATCTCATCTATAGTTCTTATGCTTCTAACTAAAAATTCAGTGTCACTATCAGGCTTTTCATGTTGTTCTTGAGGAATTCTAAATTGACTGGAGGTTATGGCTTTTTCTTTTTCCAAATTTTAACTTGCTAGCTTATCAAACTTTACATTTTTGCTAACAAAGATTTTTTTAGATTTTACATTATAGATTTTATAACATTTAGAATTGTTGCTGTACCTAAAAAATATCTCAACTTCTGCCTTTTAATCTAATTTGTCTATCTTGACATCTGGTATATGAACATAGCAAACACAATCAAATATTTTGAGATGCTTGACAGAAAGCTTTACTCCATCTATGCTTCATAAGGAGTTTTTCCTTTACAATGCTCTGTAGGTAGTATATTTAACAAATAAACTGAGGTATTGACTGCCTCAACCCAAAATTTCTTAGGTAAGTTCTTTTCAAATAGTAGACATCTCATCATTTTTATGATTGTTCTATTTTTATTTTCACTCATACCATTTTACTGATGAGTGTAAGGAATAGTTAGTTGATGTTCAATCCTAGCTTGCTTGCAGAACTTGTTAAACTCTTCTAAGGTGTACTCAATTCCATTATTAAACCTGAACTTCAGAATTTGACAGCCAACTTTCTTTGCAACCAAAGACTTAAAATTTTGAAATGCAGCAAATAACTTTGATTTTTGCTTAAAAAAAACACCTAACACATCCTTTTAAAGTCATCAATAAATGATAAAAAGTATTTGCTATCATTCAAAGATGGTGTTTTCATTGGATCACACACATCAATATGCACCAACTGTAATTTTTTTAAGCTTTCTAGTTTGTTTTGGGTGGAAAATAGCAGCTTCCTTTGCTTGCCATATTGATATACAACACATATATCATTTTTATAATGTCTGCTAGGCAAATTCTGAACCAAGTTATTCATATACATGTTTTTTAAAGTTGAATAACTAAAGTCACTTAGCCTTTTGTGCCAAAAAATCAAAATCATCTATTGCACTAGAGTAAGCATATATTTTTATTTGTTTCCACACAAGTGGGAAACTATTTTGTTTCATCTTAACTGACATCAATTCACAATCAGATGGATCAAATATGATACAAGACATATTTTTAAGATGTAGAACATAATTTTTTTCAAGCATTTGTCTTACACTCAAAAGGTTTTGACTGATTTTTGATACAACAACACATTATAAATGAGTTTTGTACATGAAAGAGTCTCTATTGCAACAACACCTTTTCTTTTGACATCAACATATTCCTCATTATCAATCTTCATTTTTGAAATGTAAGAGTTGTCCAGTTCCTTGAAGATGCTAGTATCATGGGTCATATGATGGGTGCAACTATTTTCTATCAACCAAGTTTCTTTGCTACTGTTAGCTTTATAACATGTAGTAACAAAAAACCTTTCCTCATCTCTATCATGGTTTTAAGTAACTTGAGTGAGTGTTCATTACTGGTTTGCTTAGTTTTTACAAAACTTTTTCACATGACCAAGCTGGTTGTATGCTCTAAATTTAACTCCAGGCCTGAACTAGCAATAGTTCCCAGTGTGGTTTTTCTTTTTGGAGTAAGGACAAAGTGGATACCTTTATCTCTTATCTCCTCTTTTATTGCCATCCGCTTCTTTTTTTTTTCCATTTTTTTTTACCTCAGATTACTTTCTACCTTCATTGTTGACTACATGTTTTTTCTTGAGCCTTGTTTGAAAGGCTCTTTTTGATGTTTCATCAAGTCTGATAGCTTCTTTGCTCCAAAGTGTAAAGAGTTTTCACAATTTTCTATCAAAGTAAGCTTACACAAATCTTTTGAATTTTTTCAAAAAGAAAATCTTTGATTCAAACCTCTTAGGAACACTTACAAACACCTTTTTAACAATCATTTTATCTGACAATTCTTCTCCATGTAGCCTTAGTTGGTAACCACCTTTATGGGTTTGTCAGAATACTTTTTGACAGTCTCAATGTTTTTCATCTTTAGAACCTCCAACTCCCTCTATAAGTTGAGCACTTGAATTTGCCTTATTTTGTCACTCTTATTGAACTCCTCTTTAAGATTGTTCTATGCTTCTTTGACTATTTCACAAGTCATTATTCTTGTGAAAATCACATCTAATACAGTTGAGTAGATGTAGGACAAAGCTTTGTATCTTTTAGAAACCTTATCACTGTGTTGCTTAATTTGAGCAATTGTTGGATTTGCTCTTAAGGGTGATGGATCTCTCCCTGTTTTCACTACTTTCCACAAATCAAATGCTCTGAAATATGACTTCATTTTTACTAATCAAATGGGATAATTTTCCCTTGTAAAAATAAGAAGCGATGGAGTTGCAAAACTACTAAAAGCCATGTAACAGGTTCTAATGGTTTTAAGGTTTTGAGAAAAGAAATTTCTCTGATTTGCACTCTAACTTACAACCCTTAAGATCATTTCTAATGCTTTGATACCATGTTATAATATTGAAAAAAAAATGAAATAAGCACTATAGAGAGCAAAACAAGAGATATAAGCTAGGAACACACTCTGGTACTTCGTTTCATCATCATATTATTTATACAAAAACATTAGATGTAGTGGTTAAGATATGTTTCCTTATTTCAAAAGAGTTTCACATGATTTCTAATTAAACAATTGACATCATTATAAAATTTCAAAAAGTTAACATTAGTGATGGACAAATTTCCAAAGTTATTATCCTATTAGAGGAAAATCTTAAAGTCTAACAGGTTTTCCTTTGTAAGTATTAATTATGTAGGTTTATATCCCTAATTAAATCAATTTTAATCGGATGGTGTTTACTAGATTTTCTTTTTTTTTTTTATTTTGAATGGATTACTATGGTACTTCTTTTTGGGCAAAAAAAATTAAAACATAAACACTATTTGTTAAATAACTATTTAATTACTATTTCAGTATTAAAAAGTTTATTATTTATCAAAAGAAAAAATTTTAAAAATATAAATTACATTGCAATTTCAAAATTTATAAAAATGTGAAGTGTCTGATAACCGCAAACTTGAGAACACGAGTACTCTCATCAAAAGCTAAGTATAAATATAAGTAATAAAAAGACTTTAATATAAAAAAATACTTAGTAATTAATTGTGATTAAACTTACTAGCCAGACCCCTAGAACTTACGGTGCCTAAATTAAAAGGCTGAAATAATAATAAAAATAAACTTTTTTCTCTTTTTAAATGCGCAATAGGATTTGAACATAGTTTTTTTTAGCGTGAAGTTATATAAGAAAGTGAAAATACAAAATTTAAAAGAGCACTTATCTCCCAAAAGAATACGTGCACGGAGTCCACAGAATACAATTTCACTAAGAAAATGAATTTTATTAACAATTAAATGATACAACCAATGATCTTAAAACACGAGTGCAATTCGTTCTTATAGTACCTCAGTTATTTCGGCTACAAACTTGGATGAGCTCACATGCACACACACAAATTAATATGATAACAGCACTAAGAGAAAAAAAATCGACTGGGATAAGAAGAATAATTTAATTTTAATGTCCTTTTAACAATTAATTAACCGCAGCACAATGCTTCCTAATCTCACCCTCTGATCCAGTCTTGACATTGATTCGCCCCATTTTCTTCATTGAAATAGCAAATTCTGCAAAGAAATTCTGAAGTGAACCCTGAAGTAGTTGTTTGATGAAAGCTAAAGAAGTTGGATTGGTGGTTAAAGCAGCATCTGATTCAAAAAGGCCCCGCCTCTTAAGGAGAAGAGTATAGTAGCTGAGATCAAATGTCTTACGGCTTCCAGGGTCCATCTCAACCTTGGTGGTATTATCATTAGGAGTCTTGCATTTATTTGCCTTGAGGTTAGCAGCATACTCACTGTCTAGAGACGGATCCTGATCACCCACCCCATTGAAATTGTAAAGGCGATTTGAAAACGATGAACAGTGGGAAATGCCAACAGTGTGAGCACCTGTTACAATTTAATTATGTAGGTAATTAATTGGTTACGGTTATTGCTTCTGTTGCATTGAAGGATAACATGCATGTTACAGGCGCAGCAAATTTATTTTAGCTTACCAGAGAGCAAGACTAAGTCCTTTAAATCAAGTCCCTGGTTGGTAAAAAGTCTTAGTAGAGTAGTGAAATTGCTAAATGGAGGTGGGATGTTTGATAAAGCTTCTGAGAATCTAGCTATCACCCCATCTCTACGCCCTGTTGGAACACTCCAATATGGACCTCCCTATTCCAAAGAAGGAAATAAATCAGATTGTTTTCTGCGAAACAGTGAAAGAAATGAAAAGAAAAAAAGGGTGAAGTTTATCTGGATTTAATTTGAGTCCTCACCGTGGTAACTATTTAGTCTCTGGCAACCAATGCAATAATGTCGGCACAGGAGACTATGCCAGGGCATTCAGCTTCAAGTAAACTCTTTACTCGTTCGATGAAGTCAAAGCCTCTAACTGTTAAATTTGGAGGAGAATCCTTTTCAGCTTGGTTACCGGAAGTGGAGTTCAGAAGTATAGATGCGTCACAACCCTGACAAGCCAAACATATAAATCCCATATTACACTATCTGTGAGCCTAGCTGTTGAAGAAGAAGCATAAAAAACAAAGCCAAGATTTAAAATTAAAGTATAAATAATGGCAGAAAACGGCAATGAATAAGGGAAAACAGAGACATACTCTAACAAAGCAATCATGGAAGTGCATTCTTATGAAAGCTGCGGCCAGCAATGGAGCGTTATGGATGTGTTGGTGAACAAAGTCTTGGACAATTTTTTCAGCTTTTGGACAGCTCTTTGAATAAAAACCCAATTGTAATTGAGCTTGAGTCGAGATTGGGGACTCTAAAAGACCTAAGATTATAAGCATAACATAGTGAAACCATCGCATTTTTATCATACTGGAAGAAAATGTAAAAATGCGACTCTACGAGGATATATGTAAGTAAGGAACTTGATTGTGCTTAATGTTACCTTGGAAAAATTAACATGCGTGGTCCAACAGAGTACGCTGAGATTTATAGAACTTGGTTTGAGCTAAATTATAAGCAGCAGGCGACAATTAAGCATTACTCGTTGTGTAACTAACATGTTCTGTTTTGTAATACTTTAAACATAATTTAATCAGATGTCGGCTGCTAAAAAAATACTAGCACTATATAAGAATTGAAGATTAAAGAAGACAGGCATACTTTATCTTTCGAAGTAGCATTTGTTGATTAATTGCATGGGTAACGTCCTCATGTCTTGTTTGTTTTTGTGCTTGTTGTGTAGAATGACTGGGAATCGTTCTTCGCCAAACTGTTTCCACTCTCGAAGGCTGCTACCTGCCTTGCCTTAACATCTGTATCAGCTGTGTCTTGTTTGTATATTCCATTCCTTGAAGCATAACCAGGAATGCACCAAAATTATTCATTTCTATTGTTATTGTTAAAAAAGGCTGTGCTCCTTGACCCTTGCATATGAAAAGGGAATAAGAGTGATATTATTTCTATACCGAATACCAACCCCTTCAACAGCTTCACTAATCGCACCATTCTTTTTTTGGAACTTAATCCCATCAATTATTGGTTACCTGCTACCACTCCTTTCCTTTCATTTCCCTGGTACAGGACGGCAGTAGATAAGTTGATTTTGAACATAATTAGAAAATGATCTGTTTCTTTATTTTATTACTAAAGAAATTACAAGTACATTATAGTTTTAGGACTTTAATTTATTTAACCATGGAACCTTCAACATAAGTACTAGATGAGTAGATTTATCATTTATATATCCACCTTGCTCAAAACCTATTTGATGAATTCAACTCAGATATAATCCTGGTAATTCCAATATGGGATAATTGAAATTATAATTGAGTATCATTTTTTCCTCCTTATTTAGACTTTAACTTAATTAGTAAAGTAATCAGAACTCCAAAATTGCCCGAGTATATCATAGCATACGCCCATGCACATGCAGAGAATAATTAATTCAATACAGACCACTCTACGTAAATATTCCAAATTCTTTCTGAATGTTGATGCTTTGGTTCTAGACCAAGCTGAATAAATCAAGGATGCGGTTTAAGCAGTCGGGATTAAAAAACATAAAATATTTCCAATATAATTTATCTTGAGACAATAAGGAAATTAAATGGTATCATCGTTGTACGTACAAACTTCTTTCATTTCTAGATTGTTTTTGCTTTGAACGACGATTAAGAAGCAGTTGTTCATGATGCATACAGTTTTTTAATTTCTTATACAGTTGTTCAACAGCTAGTTTCTTTGTTGTAATGTTGACGCACTTTGTTTAATTATTCAGTTATTTTGATTTGCCACCCCAAATTTGAAATCTCCTCGTTTTGATAGACTTCATGAAATCTAGAATTCCACTCAAAAAGAGAGAAAAAAAAATAAAGAAATTCATCAGTTTCATTATTAGGTGATTAAAGTTTCAACTTCCACCTGTAAGTGTTTGAATACTGTTATCGATCAGTTCTTCACATTGATACCACTTTATTTATCCAAAAAAAAAAAAAAAGAAATTGTTATCACTTCTTAGTTCTTATAAATCAATTATGACATCATAAATGAAAAATAATTTGTATTAACCACTTTTCGTAAATTAAATTACAGCTCTCATGGTCCTGGAATATATATTATTATTCCATTATTTTGCCCTACTAATAATATTTAGGAAATTAAGAAAAAGAAATTTCCGATAGATATGAGGAAGTGTTTTGTTTTCCACGTGTTCACACATACAGCGGGTAGCGCACAGCGTCCACAACCCAAACAACTCCTAAAGTTAGCACAAAATTCAAATTCAAAAAACAATAAAACCGCCAGCCACTACAAATAAATATCATTCAGGGTCTCGTATTTGAAAGTCGAAAGCCAAAATCGCTGAAAATGCAGACGAGAAGGAATCGAAGATCGCCATTGCCAATGGCTTCTCCTGCTCTAGAGGAAAACGAGTCTCCGCCTAAATCAAACATTTTCAACAAAAGGAAGAGGAATATAGCTAATGCTTCCTATTCAAATTCAGCTTCCGCTTTCTTCGATCTCCAATCATCATCGCCAAATCACAAAACCCCAACCACAATCTCCGATCTCAAGGAATTTGCGTCTTCTCGACTGGAGGATATAAAGCGAAGCCTCGTCGATCGCTCTCACTCTGAGATTCTCAAGGATCTCGAAGCCTCTCGCTCTCGCCTCCATAAGCGCTTCAAGGTCTCTCTCTGATACCATCTCTGTTTGATCACGTGCATCAATTAGGGAACATTTGAATTTGAAAAGTTGTGTGGATTATACTTAATTGTATACTGTATTCCTAATTTAACAGATCCAGACACAAGCGTGCCAGCAAGTGATGGACGAAGCTGAAAAGGAATACAAGAAGATTTCGGAAAAGATTGATGGCAGTCACGAAGCAATGAAGGCAACATATGCAGAATTCATGGCAGATGCACAAGCCACAGCTTCTCGTGGTATTTTCGTGCTACTTCTCTTCATGCTAGTGTTTACTTCAACACAGGCTTTCATTGTTATTTCTATGTTTTACATTGATTTGTTGGAAATTACAAACTTCTGATTCTGATTAGCTTCTAAGTCATCGGATCATTAATTCCTCTAGAGTTACTTATCTAGTGTCACACATTTACATTTTAGCCTTTGAATTCTGACATTTTCATTATCTTATTGCCCATTTTTATTGCTGCCAGTTTGTAAAACTTCCATTTCTGAGCTCTCAAAGTCATTTGAGAAAGGAATTGACAGCCTCCGCAGCCAATTTGGAATGCCATCGGCCTAGAATTAATCTGAAACTGAAAGACATTCCCTCTGGATTTTTGGTACTTTCATCATTGATGTTCTCTTTTTCTTTTTCGTTTTTTCATTTTTAATTACATGAATCTCTTAAACAACATACTTATTACATGCCAACAATACATCATATATTGGTATCCATTGTATGATGAGATGATGTGTATGTGAGTGTTTGTCATTTTTGCTGATTTTATACATGTGGGTACTTCCCATTGCAAATTTCTTTTGTTTCACTTAAACCTTTTCTAATGTTGTTCAGGATTTGATGATAACTAATCTGGCTTCTGGAGGTCTTCTGCAATTAGCAGAGCAGTGAAATTTCACTGTTGGGTAAATAGTGTAGTACTAATGTTCTCGTGATAGCTGTTTCTATTTTGAAGAATGCAGGAAGTAGCCTTTACGACTTTGTAACTCTGGATTTCATGAACAATTCTACCCGAACAAATTGAAGTTTTGATTTTAAGATCATCTGATCGCACCACAGATCTCAATGAAATACCCCATTTATGTCCACGTATTTTTTGCTTACATTTTTCCTTTTTAACTAGTTAATTATGGTTCATATTTTAAGTTGAATGCTGCTTCATTCTGTGTCTGCTTAGTAGAGGCCAATAGAAAATTTAATAATTATGCAAGCTCTAGTATATGTTAGTTTATATTTGATAAGTTTTACTTTCTTCGTGGGCTCCATAATTTTGATATTTTAAGACACAGCCCATGACCAATCTGGTGCAAAGTTACACAATGTACAATAACTTATCAGGGGAAAAGAAAACTCAAATATATATATATATATATATATATATAATAACCTCATCGCTTTCTTCGTAGTCTGGTAACTGGTAAGTAGAGTTTCTGAATGCAATTCTGTGGGTCGGGCAACGATTGTTGAGCTTCTGAATTCAGTAGCAACTTTCTACAACAGAATTCTGTAGTAGTTTGAAATCTCATTTATGGTTTCCTATGTGGACGAACAGAATGGGCTTCCCACAAGGAATTCCACTGTTTATAAGGCTCTTATACCTAAGGTAGTGACCAACAGGATGACCAGCAGAATGGGTTTCTCAGTTGTAATTCCATTGTTTAATGTTTATAGGGCTCTTCTTCTTCTTCCTCCTCTTTGGGACTGCCCTACTAGGAGTGACTTAAGGCATTTGTGTCCTGTAGCCGGGATCCAATAAGGGAAGGCTTTTTTCTTTATTGTTTTCAGTTTTATCCACTGACGTTTTTATTCTCAAACAGTAAAGTAACTTTTGATGAAGTTGAATCTGTAAAAATCACATTCAATATGTAGAATCTATATATTTTTGGAGGAGCTACTACCTCTTTTACTTTGGAGGAGCGTCTCAAAGGTAGACTGACTAGCTGCTAAAAGGAATGCAGCAATGTAGTACCATGCTTCTACTGTTCTTTTCCCTCTCTTTTTTGGGAATTATCCTAGGCCTGCCCAGAATCTATCTCAGCCTTTGAAAATTGACTCAAATCTTCACAGCTGACGCTTATATATATACATGTTATAATTGGGTTTTTCTTCTTTTCTCCAATCCTTTTTGAATAGGGCCTTCATTTCTTTCCTTTGATCGTGTGTTTCTTATTCTGAAAGAAAATGGAACAACCAATGGTAGAGATCCGTAAGAAATGCCGCCCATTGACATTAAGCTGCAAGAAATTAAGAAATCAAAGAATCAATGTCCCCTCCAATTCAGTTTGTCATGATTATGCTAGTTTTAGTTTTGCATATGATATGATCTGTCAGTGGTTTATTTATGCGACTCACAAATTCTGTACTTGTATTATAAAGTAACAAGTGGGTATGACAAATAGTTCTTGGGTTCAAAACATGAAATCGATGCTTCAAAAGGCATTTGTTGTTTTCATTGTTAATTATATATAGCTATTGGTCATTCGACAATCTATGGGTTCGAGGATTTTTTTTAGTTCATAAAATAATTAAGCTCCTGATGTTTGGTTTAAAAAAAAAACCTGTAAAATCTTTGCCATTAATTGATAATTTCTTTACCAGATAAACGATAACTATAATTTTGTCAAATAGATGCTTGGTATTTGTAATAAAAATAGTTTTAAATTCAAAATTTCAAAACAATCAAGTACTTTAATGTGTACTTTAATTGCTGAACAATTTTTTGAGAGCGAAAGATTAGAAGTTCTATTTAATTCTTTAAGTATTAAAAGGCTTCTTTTAGTGATCCAGATCACAGTAATATAGCCTTTTATGTAGCAAAGAGGTATGGGAAGAGCACAGTAAATGAATATTGCATTGCTTTATTTTTGAAATAAAGGGACATTTCTGGATAGTCAGCTTGAAATTCCCATTTCTTTGAAGCTCTCTTTGCCTTTGTGAGGAAATCTTGCCTGCCTCGCACTTTTTTCACCTATAATATTTATCAACTTTAATGGACCACATAGGCATGGGCTATGAATCAACACAGGCCGAAACAATGATTGCAGGGGAGATTACATCACAGATTGTACGTAAGTACATACCAGTTCTTTCCAATATTTTTCATTTTCCTTTTGGATTCTCAAAGAGACAACAAGATTTTTAAGATAGATGTGGAGAGTCATCATGATTTCCAAATTATTAACTCCAAATTATTAACTGATTTATTGATTAATATACTGATGATAGATCAATGAATATTGTTCTTTTTGGCATGAAAATCAACAATACGAAGAATCAAGTTCCCATGCTTTGTCATCGTACCTTAAGCTACATGCAAAGCATAATAAGGTTTAGCCGTTTAGGAGATCTTTAAGAGAGAAACAGTGTAATTGGTCTCTTCTTTTAACACAGGTAAGAATAAGATGTTGTTGATCTGAAACCAGAAATCAAAAGAAACATGCGTAATCAAACATTGGAAATAGGGAAAGAGTTGGGGATTGAGATTATATTAGATCTACTTTAGAATGGATCATCGCTGAATGCCTTTACATATAATCACTTTTCAAACTACATTCCTAACGTTAAAACCAGACCCACTCCACCCCCTGCCTTTCCTCTTCTTCTTCCCTTCTTATAATTTTCAAATGCAACAAATAATGTCACCTGTGCCAGTTAATCGGTCATAGATTCATGTTGCTGGTTAATGTTTTATTTGAATCTCCGAATTGGGAGAAAAAGAAAGGGTAAAATCGCTCTATGGTCATAAATTCAAACATCTCCATCCTAATGTATGGTGCTTTTTTATTAATTGAAATCATATGTAAATTGTGTAGCATGCATCGTGAAGAAATGAATTCATCAAAAGGAAAAATAAATAAATAAATAAAAGATTGATTAACAAAAGTTATATAATAGGAGGGAGGCATAATTCCTGAATCCAACTGCTGGAATAGGTAGTGTAAGAAATCAGGAAATAAGGTTTTGTCTGCTGCTACATAAACATAACATATAAAATTGAAGATCTTGCGTTACAATTTACATGCATAGAGAGTAGATAAAGAGACGTGGAAAAATCACAAAGTTGTAATTAAAGTAATGGACAGTATTTTGAAATTGCTTCGAAACCAAACAACAGGGGGAGTGACGAAGGGAATGAGTGGCTTTGGACCTTGACTATGCTTTTCTTGCTGAAGAAGATCTCGTAAGAATCTCTTTAACCAAAAGCTTAGCAGCCCATGTCTTCTTCCCATGTGGCATCTCAATGGGGGACGCATACATTAAAAAGACTAAAGAGATTGATTCAGCTTAGCCTCAAAAGAAGACTGTTTCTTGCCTAGCCTTGCCTGCCTGGCAGTCTTGAGAAGAAAGGGATTGCATTGAGTTGTTTTGATGTCCCTCTATCCCAAGCATTCTTTGCTTAAAGACAGGTTACTCCCAGGAATAAAGCCAAGGACAAAAACAATGTGGTTAAAGTTAAAAAAGAATACAGCCATACACACACACACTTGCCCATAATTCCAAAGCAGCAAATAGCAACCACTGCTGACAACCGACAATAGCCAGTTAACATTTCCCTGGGTTAAAATTAGTTATCTGCCATCTGTGCCCCACCCCCCCCCCCCCCCCCCAAAAAAAAAAAAAAAGAAGAAACAGTTCCCAAAGGATTAGTGACCGATCACAGCCGGTTTTTAGTCAGTGACCAAAATGTCTACTTGAATTGAAGTACAATAATCTCTGAACATTAAGATTGGGGAAGGTTTCATCAGCTGCAGGCAACGCCCATTGCACAGACAAGTGAGACAAACAAGCATCAACCACAACAACCAAAACCAAAACAGAGGGACCTTTCTACTTCATTTAAAAAAAAGGGGGGGGGGGGTTCTTATTAGAATCCTTTTTGTTATATTTTCTTGACAAGATTGGAGATCTTCCTATTTTCCAATTTGGATTTGTAACAGTATTGATTCCTTCACCAGCAGCGCATCCAAGTACCTCATCCCCCTCAGTCTGATTAGACACATGCATGCAATTTAAAACCCCCTCGTTTTCCCTAGAAAATAATAGTCCTAAGAAAATCGAAAATATTATTTAGCAGTAAGCAACAAAGCAACAATCGAAATTACAAGGATCCGTAGGTGAACCTGCTCATTCTGCTTGAATGTACTTGGCCTGCTTATTATGTCATGTCATGATCTACATATGCACAGGACGACAGGAACGTCATATCCATGCTAGCTTAATTTGAGCTACATGTTGAATGTATCTAAAGCTGAGTTTTTTTTTTTTTTTTTGAAACTAAACATTCATGATGTTCGGTACAAATCATTGCAAGTTTATGCTATTCCCTCAAATTCTTGATTAATTTACTTTGGCTATTGATTTTCTAGAGTAGCATCACAATTAATTGGATTGCAAATGTTATGCATGTGCACCAACTAGGCAGCTAGCCAACCTATCTATACATATAATCTAACCTTGTAGTTTTCCAAAAGCCAAAACTTGACGTTTTTAACAATTGATTCTAAACTTGATGGATTGCGAACTTTTGTCATCACTTTTCAAGAAAAGGTTTTCCTTGTCCTCAATAATCCTAAAGCAAAGGATTTCTTTCTTTTTTTTCTTAAATTTAAACATTGTTTATCTGACCATGAACAAATCATTAGTCAACTTAAACTCTGGTCAATATAGTCCAGCGAGTCTCCATTCCCTACCATTTAATTTCCGACCAATTTTCCAAGACTCATGAGTTCACTCTTGATTGGCAAAACACATATATTAATTTTTGGAATATCCACTTTTAAAATTTGTTGTTTGGGGTATTAAAAAAAAGGAAAAGAATCTTGTAAAGAGATTTGGAAATTAATCGATCAATATACGACCGTACTTAATTTCACTTTTTTTTTGCCCTATTCAAAAACTTTTTCTTCTTTTTCTTTTTTGTTTAAACCTTGGAGAGGAAGTGGGGAAAGAGAGGATTGCGGGTTTGTCCTCCATGTCGTTCATGCATCCTTAATTTTAATTATAAGACAATATTAATTTCAATGAAACTGGAGTGAAATTGGAAAAACAATGTTCAATATATTATTTAATTTTTAATTTCGGTAATACGACGTGACTTTTTTTTTTAATACTTTCTTAATATTAACTGATAATTTTAACAGAAACATGTCCAATCATTATACCAAATATTTAGAAACAAGGGTTAAAATTATTAACTTGCGATATTACTGCAAAATAAAATATAGTCTGAATTATTTCCCGTACGCGTTAATTATAATAAGACTGATAAAGTAATAAATATGGTACTTCATTTTTACTTGATTGTCCTCTTAATGTACAATGATGACAGCTAGATAAAAATCTTATTAATTAATTATTCACAAAAAAAAAAAAAACTTAAATTTTAACTTAATTCTACTATATATACTACAAATATATAAGTAGTTAGAACATAAAATTTTGGTTTTAATTTCTTTTAACTTGAAAATGTTGTTCTTATTGGATTAGGACCCATTATTAGGTTGCCTCCATTCAAAATTATATACTAATAATAATTAATATGTAACACCTAATATATCTTTTAAATTGAACCTATGTTCGCCTTTTTTATTTTTTTAATAAAAATTGGCCTTTTTTTTTGGATTTTTTTTTTTTATAGATGTGTCCACAAAATTAAAATAAATAAGAAATTAAGTAGATCATAATAATAAAAAAAATGATGGATGGGATGGAAAGGTGTCCCTGTTGGAATTCAACCCAATCATATGCCGCCACATACACACTTCCTAAAGCCCTTGTTTGCACCATCAAAACAACTGGGCCCTACATGTCCTCTCCGATCAGGACCAGTTTCCTCTTCTGAAGGATTCCCTCATAACGGTCCTTCGCTCCCAAAATAATAATAGCATTTAATAACACATATTTCCGTTATGTAACGGCGGAATCCGCTGACGCCGTCAACCCCTACCCCTCCCTCTCTCAAAATGTAGTCTCTTTATATATACCTCGGCCTCGATTTGCTTTCGTCTCCTTGTCTTTTGTCTCAAAATTTTTTTCGCTATTTCGGGCTTCATTTGCCAAACGTAAATCCTGGGCTTCCGTATCCAGACTTTCCGTTTCTGGGAACGTCACGGATTCTCGGCCGAGAATCGCTGACATTTTTTACCCGCCGAGTCCGAGATATTGTTGTCCTTTATCGGTTTTTTTGTTTAACTAAGTAGTATCTTTTCCTTCTTCTCAAGCGAAATTGAAGGGATTTTTCGTTCAAGATTTTAAGCTTTGGTGTTCTGTTTCCATCTCTCTTAACCCTCTTTGGTTTCAAAGTTTCAAGCTTCAAGAAAGAAGCTTTACTGGGTTACTAAAGTTGACAAGGGTAAGTGGGTGTTCTTCTTTCCTTCGCTTTCTCAGCAACCAAACAGAGCATTACTTTTGCTTTAAGCTTTATTTCATTGTACTGTCATTAAAGCTACTGATTCCGAGTAGGTGTTTGTGTGAATGGCAAACCGCAAATTGATTTGGAGCAGTCAAAAAAGTAGAGTAGAGTAGAATAGAGTAGAGCAGAGCAGAGCAGAGGAAATGAAATGAGAGTAAATTAGCGATATAAAGCAAGACAGCTAAGAACGGAGAATCATTTGGGGTATTGGGTAAGTCGTTTTCGAACAATAAATGATGCCAAATAGTAGCTTTCAACTGAAACAAATCTCATTTTCACGCTTGCTTCTGCTCTCTCAATATTCTCTTGTCTGTTTGTCTATTTATTTCTCGACATTTGGAATAGGCCCATCATCTTTTTCTTCTTCGATAAAAATAGATTGGTCCAGCCATCCATTCATCCATCCATCACCCCCACCAAAAAGAAAGAAAACTACGGTATTGCTCCAATGTTTCTCTATATGATCCCCCCCTTTTTTTTTTTTCCTTTTTGATTTAGTTATTTAAACTGATTTGTCAGAAACTTCGGCCTCCTTGAACATACCACGGCTTGTTTTTGAATCTTTGTTGGTTACGTTAAAGCAAAGCATAAATTCCAAGTTTGGTCACTGTCCAATTGGGCATGTCCCTTTATGCATTCTTTTCTTTTTTCTTTCAATAATTGACAGCTTTTTTTTTAATCTAGCAAGTACCTTTTTTCTTTTTTTTGGTTTGGGGTCTTCTCTGATCCCGAGCTCTTTTTCTTTTGCTTATCTTTCCTTTATTGTCTTTGTCAAAAAACCTCCATTCATAAGGGATGACGCTGATGCAACATTCACACTTCTGGGATGATTTTTTGTTTTTGTTTTTCTTTGGTGCCAAACATGCTGGAATTGGCTTCATTATCTTTTTCTGGATGGGGAAGTCTCTTTAGTATTTTATTGCAACAAAATCTCTTTAAGAACAGAGACCCCCTGCATCCAACCAAAGAATGTCTCCCCTCCCCTGCACCTACTCGAAGAAGAATGTTCCATTGTCTGTTCAATTGACCATCATTAACCTTACAAAAAAAATGCACTTCTCATGGGTCTTATTGTAAATTCACAGTCCAAAAGTAAAATGAAATCCTACTACTAGTAATCTAGCATTTTCAATTCGGATTAATTGAATTAAGTTATTAACTTATCCAAGTCAAATTCTTTGTTTTGTGCAGGAATAAGAAGAGATTAGTAAGAGGAAATAAAAGCCAAGAGATAAAGAAAAAAAATGTTTACGTGCATAGCGTGCACAAAGCAAATGGCGGAGGGAGGGGAAGAAGTAGAAGGAGCCCGTGGAAGTAGCACGCCTAGTACAAAAGAAGCCGTCAAAAGCCTGACGTCGCAGGTTCTACTTCTATTTCTCTTACTACTAATAATAATAATACCTTAATCTTTCTTTCTCTATCTCTTTACTCTTCATTTCACCCTTGGCCTTGAGCTTCATTCATGCAATCTTTGGTTTTGCTTTTTTCTGTTTCCTTTTCACTTTGGCTTTGTTCGTGAAAACGAACAAAATCATAACACCCCAATTAGCCTATCTGATCTCCTTGGGACCACCTTCCTCTTTGGACCCTTGTGTCATCTTTCTTTCACGTTTATTTATGTTCCAATTGTTTTAATTTAATCTTAATCTAATACCATAAAGCTGTCGGGGCATCAAGGATTTCTTTGCATGTAATGTGGTGTAGGATTCCATTTGTGCAACTCTGATTTTCTTATCACGTGGGGTTTTATTGACTTAATTATTAGCTTAGTATTACTCTCATTGTCATTCATGTATCTTTCTTTTTTTATGATGCATAAGAAAAAAGAGAAAGACAAGAAAATCCTATATATCTCAAAATATTTCACTTTCTGCTGTTCTGTGCGGCGGGCGGAGAAAGAATCATCAGTGATTCGCAATAAGTGGGATTCGTGTTATCCTCAAAAATCAAAATAACATATTAGTAAAGGCATAGGAAGAACAAATATTGCTGCATTTGGTAGAAAATTTTAAAATCTCTTTACTTAAAAGCCAGCGCCATTAATAGCTTAAGACTTGGGATGCCGTGAAAGCATGGTAAATGCAATAGCCAAATAATACATCCATCGATGATCCAACGGGCAAGAGGAATTAACTATGTGGCTAAAGTGGTAACCTTTTGGGTAAAATCATGTAGACGGTACAGTAATATTCAAGGGCACTTTTGTGCATGGGGCTATGCCTCTAGGCGGCTTTGTGATATGCTAGTAGATCTTTGCGTAACTTAGACCAACAAGAATCCTGCTACAGGTGATTCCGGTTAGCCGTTAGGGTTGTACAAAGATCTTGCTAAATCTTGTTTCTTGAGTTATGAGTTCTAGGAGTGCCTAAACATCAGGCATGCGCAGACAACACTTTCCTTCGTATGAGCTACATATCTCTAGGTTCTAGTTTGGAATTTGGATATATAGAATCAATTCCAAGAATCCTGGTCAAATATCCTGTAGAGTATTATGGTATTTTAGGATGAAATTGTGGCAAACAAAATTTCCTGCGATATAAGTAGTCAGTGGATATCTTTAGAAAAGACAACCAAGTGTCCTGGGCCTGACCCACCATTGAATTCTTGTCGATCCTTTGTGTTTGAAAAGTAGGAATATGGGAAAAGAAAAGAAAATCTATGCATGCTAATGGGCTGTGATATTGACTGCCAGAACATCTCTCAGGTGGTAGCAGAAAAGTACATTTTATCATTTCAGATCGTGTTAGACCAACAGCGTTTACTGTAGTAGTATTCCCATGATATTCACGGTTGAGGTCGCTTTTCGGTCTATTTTATGCCTTCTTCTTGTTCTTTTCTCTTTGGGGGATTGTGAATTGATCTTCTTGTCTGAGTCTACTGTGCAGATAACCTGGACCAATGTAGCTATGATTTCTTTTCATAGACCAGTTCAATTTTCTGGCTTTTTTATAATAATAATAATAATAATAATAATAATTCTGGAGCTTATATAAGTCTGTTATGTACCACAAGCTTTGCACTTTGAAAGCCATAATTCAGAATGCAAACCATCAAATTATACTGTCAGTTGTTCCCCTAGAAATAGAGACAATAAGTTTTCAAAGGCAAATTATTTCTTGTTCAAAGATATTGACAAATATTTGGATATATGATGTAATGGTAAAGATAATAATGCAAAAATAAGTTGGAGAAGAAATCAATAAAAAAAAAATTGTTCAAGTGGTGCTCGTTAGAACATTGAATATCTCTTAATTACAGAATATGGGATAATTTCCAAGGAAAAATAGGTACAGTTTAATTTTTAGGTTTCATTGTTAGATCATTAACGCAATTTTCATTGAATCTCTCCAATTGTGAGCTACAATAATTTTTATGCTTGGTAATGCATTTTTATTCTATCAAACTTAATCCTCTGTATTTTCCAACATTAAATCTGTGCCATTAACTTCATCTTGTGGAAGTCAAGCATATATATATATATATATATATTTTTTTTTTTGGCTTTTCATTTACTTAAATTGTAATAATGTGCAGATCAAGGATATGGCATTGAAATTTTCTGGCGCTTATAAGCAATGCAAACCCTGCACGGGCTCCAGCAGCTACAAGAAAGGAGATCGACCTTATCCAGATTTTGATGCTGCTTCGGAAGGGGTTCCATACCCCTACATGGGCGGAAGCTCTAGCTCAACACCTGCATGGGATTTCACTAATGCCAGTCACCATCCAGGAAGGTCAGATTCAAGATTTACCGGGGTATTCAGTGGTGATAGAACCCCTGGTGGTAGGGAGTCTATCTCGGCCCAGGATCTGGTTTTGGAAGATGAGGATGAGCCCAAAGAATGGATGGCACAAGTGGAGCCTGGGGTTCATATAACTTTTGTGTCTCTACCTAATGGAGGAAATGATCTAAAACGAATTCGCTTCAGGTATGCCATCCATACCAGCACCAATATTAGTTTCCAACCAGAATGTACTTTCATCTTCTTGAATTTTATTAATATCTGACATACATCTATCATTGAGACTCCAAATAGACATGTCATTCTCAGCCCTCGTATGCCTGTCAAATATAATTATGAGCTGTTGAAAGCATTAGCTGGGAGCCTGGGACTTTTTCACTGACCTAAGGAGTAAAGATGGTCTCTGAGGTGCCACGATGTTCTCCCTTCGTTCGTCTAGTGCATGGGGCACAATGTTTTGATAATTTGGTGATGATTATCTTGATTGATATCTTTTCTCCAGCTAGATTAGTTGTTTGTCTTTGTGTTGTTGTGTTGTTGGACAAGTAGATATTGTTTCATCGTTCATTGATTAGTCCTTTCTACCAAGCTGTGATTTACTATGTCATGCAATTGGTTGGTCGTAGCAAAAGTCCATTCAGCTTTGATTCTCAGACATGAAAGAAAGTGGAGTTTTGTGCAACTCCAAATTGCCCCAATTATTTTGAGTTTTTGTTGCTGGAACTAAATCAGCCTATATATATATATATATATATATATATATATATAAACGGAAACTGATGTTACTTAGGCTTTGAATTTTGAAGCCGGGAGATGTTCGACAAGTGGCAAGCACAGCGATGGTGGGGTGAGAATTATGATAGAATCATGGAGCTCTACAATGTACAAAGATTTAATCGTCAGGCACTACATACTCCCCCAAGATCTGAGGATGAGGTAAACCACCTTGTTCCTCGTTTTTAAGACATTTTCTTACTTAATGCACTTGGTTTGCCTTTTTGAGTCCATGAATTTATAGAGGCTCCAGTCTCTAGAACCAGAATTAGTCTGCAAGAACCATATGTTTGTCAATTTTGCATTATCTTCATTCTATTTATTCATGAATGTCATGACTGACAGAAGACTTTATTGTAAGAAAAGCAACTTAGTTAGCAATTAACATGGCATAAAGCTTATTGTTTCCTTTTTGTTTCCTGACCTAATGGACCTTAATTCTAAAAGTTTCCTTGTTATTCTACCTCTTTTCTTTCATACAAACAGTTAAATTGTTTGAGTGCCTGGATAATTTGCATTGTAGTTACATAATCTAATTCATTCCAACTTCATATTACTTCAGATGCAAAGGGATTCTTCTTACTCAAGGATGGGATCAACAATGGAAAGTCCCATGGCTCATTGGACACCAAGAAACCACTATAAACCATATGGAGGTAAAGGATATTTCCCATCTGACCATATGGACCAAGGTGGAGCCCAATATTACAGTGCTGGGCCAAGTGCTTTTAGTGCAGGTGGCCCAAGAGGTGAGGCATCTTTTGACGCTTCACGGACGACAACCTCCTCTAGAGATGAGCCCTCTGTTTCTGTCAGCAATGCCAGTGAAATGGAGTCAGAATGGGTTGAACAGGATGAACCCGGCGTATACATTACCATCAGACAGTTGGCTGACGGCACCAGGGAACTGCGGCGTGTGAGATTCAGGTAACGAAATTCCCATTGATTTACATCATGGTCTCTGGCGGCCAACATAAATTAAGATTATTTTTGAACTTGGATAATAAGATACCACTAGTATTTTTTTTTTAAGACCTGAATATATCATCAATCAATCTTTCTTTTGACCGTGAGGTTGTTTTCTGAAAAAAAAAACCTTGTATTAATAATAATAAATAAGTTAGAAAAATCTATCTAACAAGCCCTAGCCAGTAGGAGACATCAGGTCATGCTATGAATTCATGTTATTTGCGCATTCTGATATTTGAGCAGCCGCGAAAGATTCGGAGAAGTAAATGCGAAGCAGTGGTGGGAGGAGAACAGAGAAAGGATACAAACACAATACCTATAAATTATAATAATAGTATTACACAAACAAATGGTAGCAGCGGTGGATCTAAATGCGTTGAAAGGTGCACTGCAGTTGGATGTTTCCTTCAATTTTGTTTTGAAACGTGGTGGTAAGAATCATCAAATTCACCATAGTGAAGTTGTTTACATTACAGGTAAAATGGGCTTTGTCACCACCTGTGATGACTGAACTAACAAGTGTCAAAACAAGCCCCTTCTTTTATTTTTTTGGTCTACCAATTTTTAGGAGCTCCTCTTACCACCTTTGTTAAGGGAATTTATTTGGTCTTTAGGTTTTTATATAGGGAATTTATTTGGGTCGGGAACTAGGTTGTCTAGCGGTTGTTTTTTTGTAATACAAACTCTGATAGTTCAAGAAATGAGTTTTTTAAAGTTATAACAGCTTTACTTTATGTTTGGATTATGTTTTTTTATTACGAGAATAACCAGATACCATAGAGTGGAAATTAAGTAAATACACAACAGCGACTTCAGTAATCTTCAATTGTTTTGAGACGACACTACCCACGAAGTGTATTCTTTACATGTTTAAATTTCTCTTTGCACGTTTCTAGTACTAGTATTAGTAAACTGTATTGAAGAAGATTGCGAAACGTTTTCCGGACTTTGAAATTCTATAACAATGTCCCTCTCTTTAGTTTCTCCTACGTTTCCCCTGTCCAATATTGAAGGTCTTTCTCCGCCAGTCTGAACTATTATTACCCTCCTTTCTGTTAAATTTATGATGAATAATAATAATAATAATAATAATAATAATATATAAATAAATAAATAAAACATCAAGTTCAAATAGATCTCTGACCCGGGCATCATTTCTTTCTCCGTGGGCTACTTTGAACTCTGATGCTAATGTAGTGTAAGGAGCCACTAATTATGGGGGAAAATAGGATTCAATTCAAAATCATGTTAAAAAAATCAATCAAGATATTCAAAGAAGAAATGAAAAAAATAATCACAAATCATTCACAAACTCACACTTTATTTATCAAGCAACGATCAATATGTAGAAACAAAACAGTTTCTTAATTGTAACAGAAAACCGAGTACCATATAGCTACTGCTAGGAAAACACTCAAAACAGGACAAACCAAAGCGCACTCGTTTTGATATTTGGACTCCTTGACTCCATATTGTACAATGAAATAGCATTTGATTTAATTTATTGTTATAAACCATGATGCTGGGCCATCTCATCCCGCTACTTTTCTGGTAAAAGTTCTGCCTGGCTGTACCTGTTGGGTTGGTCTAAGAAACGTGTCATTAGATTCCGCAGTCCACTGTACCCCAGCCTTCATAGGTGGCGGCCTGCGATTTCCAATTGTCACATTTGCCAACTTCTCCGCTACATCTGAAGCTCCGTGAGCATTTCTATTCTTATTGATGGATGCTGCTGGACCATTATATATTCAAAGTCAATCACATAAAATATAATAAAACAAAACTAATGCAAATATACCCTTGTAAAATTTCCTGTCAATTACAAGAATCTTCAGCAACCACATACTAAGCAGACGACAACTGAACTATTCTATTCACAGCACAAATATGGATCAATTTTAACCTCACAAATAGGTTTCAATTTTTTTTTTCCATGGATTGATCATATTCAGATAAAAGTAATCATAATATGGTTGAATCTAGCAAAAAACACTTACTTGGACTCTTTCTTCCCGGTGGCCGATACCTTGGTTGTATGGCAGAGTTCTTCGAGGATTTATTATTCTTATTAAGATCCTTCTGGAAGGGAAGAAAAAAGACTATACTTAGAAGCAACGTATGGAAAACACTACTAGAGAAGTAGAATCACTAAGCCACATTAAATAACAATTACCTGATTAACCATCTCCAGCTTGCGTTGCACACCTGCAAGAATTAACCGTATAAGATCTTCTAGGAAATAAACAACACTTGCAATATCAATTTGGAAAAATAACAAGGATAAAAAAACACAGATAAGCTCCAGAAAATGCATTACTGCCAATTTAATTACTAATTCTGCATTCAAACTTATGAAAAAAGTGATGGTACAGCTTGATCATAAACTTAGCAAGAACACTTGCATCATTTTCATAATGTGCAAGAAAAATCCTTCAGCAGAGCAGAGTGATAAGGCACTCTACATCCAATATCATGAGTAAACTATTTCTGTACTGGTACATATTCTAAGATCCATCACCTGTGCCCAAAGATGCATTTGACTTCAGAGAAGAAAGATTGCTGGTGAGCTTTGCATTTGGTAGAACCCCAGAATACCTCCTAGCTGATTGCTGTTCAAATGTTCCTCTCACCCCGACTACAAGTACGTATATTAGAAATTAGCCACAAATTAAACCAAACATACCCCCTCCAAAAAAGACAAATGGCAGAGTTTTAGAATGAACCAGATGGAGGAGTTCTAGAAACAGCAGCTCTGGGACGAAGAGAGGGTGGAACATAAAAACAACTCTGCACATCATAAGAAAATTCCATGAGCGGAGTAATTGCCACAACATAAAGGTCATTTTTTACCTCATAACAGAACAATCCAGAAAATTATCAAGAACATTAAAATAACTATAAAAAACAGCACCTGAAAGAAAGGATGTTGAAGGACCTCAGCAGCAGTTGGCCTTTTGCATGGATCCCACGAACAGAGAGACTAAAGACAAGCAGCAAAGCAAATGTCAATTTGTCTTCGAACAATCCAAATAAAAAAAAATTAATGGTCAGAATCACACTAACAGAAAGCCCTTCCTGCTGTAGGATGAAAAGGAACAAAAAGCATCGAAGTCAGCAGACATGCACTTAACTGTAATAAGGTTGATTGCATCGTCACTTGCTGATGGTATCAACACAGACAGATGCACACCAGCAAACTGCAATGTTCAGTAACAGAAAGATTGAAAAAGATGCAGGATTCCATACACATAAAATAATCCAAAAGAATTGTACATCACTAAAAATAAACTTGGAAGTCATGCTTTGAAGCTGATGATTTTGCAAGATAAAATTGAGAGACCTGTGGGAATTGGTAGTTTATAGCCCTTGCAAGATTAAGCCCATCAGGCCATGAATCCTTAATTGGAGTACCTATTATGCTGCAAATTTTGTAGATTTCATCTGCTTCACTGCATTTACAATAACAATGAAGGGTTAGCATGATTCCTGTAAATAACCAAGTAATAACCCATTGTTGCCAAACATACAAATAAAGATAATGAAATATCATCTAATGCCTGTCTAAAAAGAAGAATCTTGAGGAGAAAGTTCTCAACACAAAATATATAAAAAAAAAGAACATTCCTGGTGCCAGGAAAAAGTGGACGTAAGGTGAACAACTCAGCCATGATTGCACCCATTGCCCACATATCTGTAATCATGGAGAAAAAGCATAATTAAAAGGGCTGTCACCAATTATATCCTATGTGAATTAATATTGATTGAACTCAAAACTGACCAACTTTCAAAGTATACAGGTATGATTGAAGAAGAACTTCAGGGGCACGATACCTAAAATACAAGGAACTCAAAGCTCAGATAAGTTGTAATGAATATAAAAAAGAACAGAAAAGGGGGAAAAACTACTAAATTCTCAACGTATCAAACCTACCAGCGTGTTGAGACATACTCCGTGTATGGTGGATGTGAATTTATTTCACGTGCAAGACCAAAATCAGCAATTTTGATTATATCCTTACTAACCAACAAATTCTCTGGAAAGAAAATGGCAGTTAGTTATAGAAATTTTCTTTCAGTTGATGCAATAAAAATATACATAAATTTTATAGACAAATATTAAACACAATACCTGGCTTTAGGTCACGATGAAAATACCCACGCTGGTGCATGTATGCAAGACCTTGAAATACTTGGAAACACCAATTTCTGATTTCGACTTCTGAAAAAAGCTTTTCCCTGTCTTTCATAAGTTGGTAAAGGTTGCATTCCTGGAACAATTTCACGTTTTCAGCAAAATAATTAAACCCCCAATGATTAAAGAGCAAGTTATAAGTCAAACACAAATACAAGCTGTTCACTTACCATGTATTCAAACACAAAATATAGAATGTCATTTTCCCTGATGACTTCCTTAAGTTTCACAATATTGGGATGATTCATTCTCCGCAGCGACTGTCAAACAAAACAGACTATCATGATATGAAACAAATAACCATGAGAAAAACAGAAGAAAGCAACTCGTATTACCTTAACTTCTCTCAGATTCACACACTCTTCCCAAGAGTAATATTTCTTCTTCATTTTCTTAATTGCAACCTTTAAAACAGATAATGTTTATTTGAAAAGATTATGTCAATATCATCATATTAAAAGAAACATGTTCTTACAATTTCAAATAGATAAAATCTCAGGCATACTCACAACTTCTCCAGACAGCTTGTTAACAGCTCGCCACACAACACCAAAAGTTCCATCACCAACTTCCTTAATTAACTTGTACCTAACATCACCCAAAACATTAATAAGCATAAATTGCCATGCACAAAATAAATAGTATAGTACAATCCAGAGTAAACAACTTACCTCTCCATTTTCTTGCAGAACAAAAGGTAGCCCTTTCTTTATTCAAGAGATGTATAAGAACCAACAATAGACATGTGACATTTATCTTCAGCAGAAGATTACTTGTATTAAAAACTATAAAACATAAACAAACTGCCTTTCTGGTCAGCTAAATCCACTATTAATTTCCTCTGGTAATATGCAATAACATAAAACCAGAATTTTTATTGCGGATAAGCTTCACAGCTTTATTTGGTACTAAACCCATAGCTGCAAGATGAAAACAAGGCATCAACAGAAGGAATAGATGAGCTCCACAAAACATACTGATACACACCGACAGAATGATTGCTCCAGCCAACAGGAAGAATCCCAAGCTCAAGATACACTCACTCGGTCCAAAAGCTTAATTGCAGTTAACTCATCCATGCCAAATAGAAACTGTTGCAGAATGCTCAACAAAACAACATCTCATCACTAACCAGAACCCATCAGGTGTAACAACAGAAAATTAACTATGAGCTATAGCTGCTAATGCTTAGTAAGCAACTTTCAACTGTCTACTGCAAGAGTTCAGCCCTGTGATAATAGAAGAGCAAAGAGAAAAGTATGAGAAAGGTTAGAAAAGGAACAAAGAGTTGACAGATATGGATAAAGATAATGATAACAGATATGGAAAAAGATAACTATGTGATTATATTGTCTAACTGGAAGGCGTTTTCCCAAAATCTTTGACTGGAAGTTGTATCAGAAATGAACTGCCAATAAAAATATTTAGAACCTACTTATCTGATTTTAGTCAAATCGAGTAGAAAAAATTGCTTACTTGCAGAAGTACACTAAAGATCCAACATCTATTTCAGATAAAACTTGCATTACACCTCCTCTGTTAGAATTAAAAAGATACCGGGTGCTAAGTGCAATTGACAAAGGAAACTAAAAGAAAATCTCCATGGACGAGAAACCGCCAGTCAAGTACTTCTTGGAACGAAAACACCAGGAAAAGGTAGCAATTTGACCAGAAGCACACTTGTTCCATGTCTTGAAAAGGAAACTAAATCCCTTTAAATCCAAGTCCCGAGAAATCTAACAACATCGATTGAAACTTGAGTCAATATAGATCTTACAGGCGCACATAACCTAGTATGATACCCTAGATCATGAAATAATTGACTCAAGATAAATGACTGATTATCTAGGAAGGTATAGAAGTACAGCATTACTCAGAAAAGAATTCGCATTAATTCAAGCATATGACATGTAACAATGTACAAAAAGTGGAATAATATTCATCTTAGAAAGCGAATTCTCAAGAAAAGAGCTGAGGCTGGCATATTCAAGCAATATTAAATCCAAAATTCTCAACTGCTAGCGACTCATCAGATCACGCCAAAATCAAGGCCCAATTCCACAAAAAAACAATTCCCAATCCCAGATTATAAACCAAACAAGCAAGATACACCGTGATGACAACAGCAATAACAACGAATCAATTCAGGTCTGAAAAGATAAATAAATCCAAAAAAAAAAAATTCTAATAAATCATAGAGGCAAACCCTAATCGATTGAATCACCAAAACAATAAGAATCCGAACAAATCTCTACTTATGAAACAGGCGGCAAAACAAAATAACCAAAAAAGGATCCAAGGAGAAAAACTATAGTCTAAACCTAAAGACGAAAAAAGAATCAGAGAAAATCGAAAGAAGAGATGCGATCGGATCATATTATCTAGGTTAAAGAGGTATCGAGGGAGATACCTGAAAACCAACCGGCATAAGCAACGCCGCCAACGATGGGAAGAGGTTGAATCCAGAGCTTTGCTATTTCTCTCTCTTCCTAAGAAGCAAAATTAAGGAGAAGTTTTTTTTTTTTTTTTTTTATGCGCGTTTGGAATATGAAGGGAAATATCTGTTCTTAAAATAGCTGTAAGTTGGTGTGACCAAGAAAGCGCTTAATTTGGGAATTTTATTTATTAATAAATGCGCATTCCTATATTTATAGTCCCTCTGTTTCTACTCTACACTATGCCCTATTCTATTATGCTAGGCTTGTACAGTGGATTGTCTTCATCATTTCTCATCTCGTTTGGTTCTTGATTAGGACAATCAATTTCTTTTTATTTTCTGCTGCCAAAATCACTGGTTTTTCTTTGTTTGTTATTGTTTTCATTAATTAAAAATATAAACATTAATTTTTCAATGGCTTTTAAATGTACTTTGTTCAATTCTAAATACTAAACTCATAATTTAAATGGGAATTAATAGTTAATCAATTTATAATAATAAGACCTTGTAGAATTTTTAATTCCAAGGTCTACATTATTTTTTTAATAAAAATATCTTTATTTGAAATTTTAAGCTGGTTTGAGGATATTTCTTAATCCAATTTAGATTAAAATGACTCTTTCTTTTTTTTTTTTTATTTAAACATATTACGGTCGAATAAGATATATTCATATTACAATCAACATTTTAAAAATATATTTTTATGCTTTTTTCATTATGTGATTGTAATATTTTAAGTTAATGAATGATTTGATTATAAAATACATGACACTTGATTCATTCCTGATATTAGTTAGTTTGACGAAATTGTTTGTTATATAACCTCTTCTTCAATTTTTTTTTTTTTTTTGGTAAAAAACCTTCTTTTTATAATGAAATATAGCACAAGTTAAAAATAATAATTGTAATGAAAAAAAACACAAACTTAATATGGTAAGCTTGCTGTTGTGTAACGAAAGAAACAGAACAATACTTAAAAAATAATAATAATAATAATAAAGCATATCAGGACTGTGTACAGATGCCTTACAAAGAATATATATATATATATAAATTAACAAAATCATGTTATTGGGAAGCTAATTCTTCAATTCACGAATATCAATTTAGAGATTCTTGATTTCTATGGATATCTACTCTGTGTGAAGTATGAAACTTCCTTCTTTCAGCTCCTACTCTAATTGGAACAATAATTGTACTTTTAACCAGGCAAGAGATTTGTCACCGTCACTTTGGATCAGTTTGTCATCCTGAACTGCTGTTAGAGGAATACCAGAGTTTTTTCTGGCATACTAATAACTTCTCCTTCTCCACACCATATTCAGTGTCTTCTTTACGGCAGCCCCACCTCAATCCCTTAGCAATGGTGGTAATAGCATCAACAAAATAGCTGGATTCCCGCATTAATGCATATCCCTTGGGGCGCAGGATACGATCCATCTCCAAGAGCACGTACCTCATATCACATCTGGCAACGCAACAAGATGTTTCAACCCAGAATAAAGTGCAAAATATAAAGAATTCATTAGAAGTACCTTTGAATTTAAAAAATATCAAATGGGAAAACATGCATACCTGTGGCTCTCAGAAGTGAAGAGGCCATCAAGGTGAAGGAGATCATATGTCCGAGGATATGTTGAAACTGCTTCACACCTTCAAAAGACACAGACGAATTAAACACCATGCAAAACCTAGCATCATAAGAGCAATCTTGTCACAGTTTCAGAGCTATGCTCCGGATGCATGCCTAGGATTTAAAGTTCATATAAATGTATTTGAAATTACCAATCATGATAAGTTCCAATAAGGCCCCGATCATAGACCACAGGCAATGAGTTGGCAGCATAGGAAGAGACAACATTCATGACCCACAAGGGATCATCAATAAGAGCTGTAGCGAAACCTCCATAAACTGTATTCATGTCCATAACATTTCTTATCTTGTCCGTCCCAATTGCAGGGAGTAATGTTTTGTAGTGCTTGGCCCGCACCTTCCACTTGTTGTCATCATGTTTTAAAGCACTGCCACTCCCACCAGGTACGTCTGAAATGCGTTCAGGTGCAACTTGTAACCTCTCTGGCCACTTTGGCAGGGATTCCAAGGCTGATTTCTTAAGTTTTGGCTTTGGAACTACAACACATGGCCGGAGTGGAGTGTACCACGCTGAATCAGGTTCAAGACTTTCATCGCACTTGGCTGGGTAGGCATCTGGTTCAGCAAGTTTATCATAGCAGCTATTATCTGAAGATTTCTGCCACACAGCAATGTCATCCTTTTTGGCATACAATTTAAAGCACATTGAAGTCAACAAGTCCTGCAACTTCTCATAATATGATTTCTGCTCTTCCACAGTTGTATTCCATCCACGCCAGCGGTTCTCATAATTTACAGGAGGGCCAGACAAGACCCAGAAACCACCAAGACGGAGTATGCGGTGAACTTCAAGGAGATAAATTCCACCTGAAAGCAAGAGCATCTATTTTTTAAAAACTGCAAGCGGTAACCAAAAAAGAGGTGCTCACTTGGTGGATATGCTAAGCAAAGTAAAAAGACTACAACATCAAATTTTGAAATATGATAATTCCTCTTAATTCTCGGGTCATAGAAGGAACTTAATCAAACAAACTCATTCAACAACAACGATAAAAAGTTATAATAAAAGGAATATTGTACTAGTGTAGCAAATGTTCAGAGATAATTACTAGATTATGTTAGTTCCTTCGAAATCCATATTTAAGTTTGAGCAGAGTTCAGGATAATCATTTACCAAATTCAGCCCATGGGATAAGGCATCTTGAGCAATGAGCCATATCAAATGAATTTGAAGGGAAAGGAAGGCGCTGGGTTGAAATGACACCAAGGATTGCAGGTATTCCACGTTCCAATGCAAACTGGACTTGAGCTTCATGATTATCTCTTGGAGCGAGAGAAACTGTCAGAATTCCACGATCTAATAGGTCACCTCCCCAACTTGCAACCTCGAAATATATCAATTACGGAGTTTAAATTTAGAAAAATAAATAAATAAATAAGGCAGAGAAGAGTATAGAGAAAGTGAGAAGCTAAGAGATGAACAATCAATTCCCTTCCATAATTCAATTACATATAGACAACAGTAAATGCAACAGAAATACAAACATGTCTGATTTTCTTCACTATGAAAAATCCACACACTTTCAGTATTGCAACTCACCCCACAACCAGTATCAATTGCAGTTCGAACCGTGCCATCTCTCATTTCAGGGATCAGCTCTTGCATCAAATCCACATATGCACCAACTCCTTTGGGGAACATAGTACCACCACCGGGAAACAGGAACTTATCCCCTTGCTTCCTCAGCCAGTTCTGATTAGACTTCTGCTTGTTGATCCAATCATACGGGACGTTCCTGAAAGCAGATCAGCATGTTACACCATGCAAACTTAAAATAAATAGATAAATAAATAATTTAACAAAAGCAATTAACCCTCTCAAGGTAAATTAGCAAAACCAGAAAGAGGTTATAATACCTGTACCAACATTCATCCCGGCTCTTTGGCCATCTGATAGGTGGCTTATACCCATCTGGAGGTGGAACCAAGCATTCCTTCCTCTCAAAGACTGGAGGGCAGTGGCGTTCTAAGAAAGTAAGCCGATGTACACCATACTTCTTCCACCTCTGTAGCAATAAACATAACTCATCAGTACAGCATTCTAACTTAAGCAGCCTGCAACATAATTAAATAGATGATCATTAGTTACCCTGGGATCTGTGCATGGTGTGTAGTCTTGATAATCAATGCTGCATTCTGGGAAGGCACCAGATTTGATTTGAAGGGGGTTTACAGCGGGTTCCTTTGGAGAAGGAACAGCCTTGGAAACATCCTGCACTGTCTTGCCCTCCAATTTATTTTTCTCAGAACAGAAGATTCCACCAAGATAGAAAGAAAACCCACAAAGCACAATGACCAGTAATGTTGCAGGGACAATCTTGAAACCTTTATCAGGTTGGGCATGATATTTTCCATCTTTATGCTTCATGATTTTGAAAAAATTAGTTACTGCAATATCAAAATCCACCAATCAGTCAAAACAGAAAGGAAGAAATCAACTGAGAAGCTCTGTTTTTGATGAAATGGAAATTGCATCACTCCACCTATGCTTAAGGACGAGTGAAGAAAACAAGAAAAAACCAATGCAAAATATCATATTTAAGTTTCCTCAGGGGAAGGGAAACAAGTAACTAGATCCGGTTAACTAAATTTTTCAGCAAAAACTTAAAAGGATAATAGATAATGATGAAATTCAAGAAAATCCATCAATATATAACATGACGTGGACGTACTGAATGTTTAATTTTACAGTTGAGACTCGAGATTTGAAAGGGCCGGAAAATTGCAAGCAATAAATGATGAAACAGAAGTTAGCTTTTCAGGAGACCGAGAAGGGAATGGAAAGGGAAAGTAAAACCACGCTCTGCTTCTAACAGCAAGAATTACATTTAATGTAGATCCTGAAAACAATCCTGACCATAGACTAAGACCTTGAAAGCTATAAAACGCGAAGATCTGAAGACAACTACCACCGACATGTAAAACTTTACATGTCACTTCGCCTTTATTCCTTTCACATGTTATAGGGACCCAACTCGTATGGAACTTAGCCGTCCTAGCATGGTCCCGTTCATTCTTAATTGCCATACTCTTTCCCACAGAGTCAAAAAGGCAACAGAGAAGCTATGGATTTCCTACCCAGCATGGAAAGTAAAAATGGAAACAATGACAATAAAAGTTAAAGAAATAAACAAACATAACATGTAGTTTTATAATAATTTCCTTGACATAGAAGAAAAAGTTGAATGATTTCAATGTCAGTGCAGGCCAATCAGCTGTTTTTTTTTTTAACCAGAATGGTCAATAGAGACATTGACATCATGAACAACAGATAATTAGTTACGAAATAGAAAAGGCAGACAATTTCAATGCCATTTCGCATACCCTCCAAAGCAAAGCATGGAACTTTTCATAAAAAATTTTCAGCAACAAGAAATGAGAAGCACCCAGAAACAAGAGAAGAAGAAAGAAGAAAAGAAAAAAAGAAGATTTTGTTTGACTACTGATATGAATTAATATTGATAACTATCTAAAAATAGTAATTTAGAGGAGGGTAGCAAAGGTAGAAGAGAGTAGAACCACAAGTTTCATGTCTTTTCAATACGGGTAAGGTAAAAACCAAGTGTCTGCCAAGTGATTAACTAAAAATAAGAAATTGATACAGAAAACAAGCCTCGCCAGGTAAAAAAGGTGAGATCTCTTGAGGCAATGGAAGCCATAAAAGCCAATAAAAGAGAAAAAGAAGAATTACAGAAAGCAAGTACAAAGGAAAGGGAAGGAAGAATGAAGGGACATTAACAGGACAAAATAAGAAGCAGAGAGATCTGACAAAGGAACCCATAAAAAGAAACACCAAGTACAGAAGAACTATACACTAAAAAAGAAAAAAAGAAAAAAAGAAAGAAAGAAAGAGAGAGATCGTATTTGGATTTGGTTGTTGTACCTCTCTCAATCTCTAAAATAGCTCTGAGTGTCTCAGTTACAATTACGAAAGAAGGAATGAAAAGGGTAGTGGTGGGCGTTGTTGACAGTAGAAAGACAAATAAAAATTCTCTTTCAGAGAGAAAAAAGAGAAAGATAGAGATAAGGAGCCTAGGATACAAGGATTTGTATTATAGTCGTTGAGATGTCGCCTGTAAATTTATAAGTAAAAAACGAACACGCTCAACTTTTAAATAAGGTTGGGGGGGCTACCCTCTACTTCCTTGCCCTTTGTTTCTGCCTCGCTGTCCTCCCTTGGTCTCCCCATCTCCCCTCGCTTTCCTTCCTTCTTCACATCATTCTTTCCTTTCTTTTCTCTCTTTCACCTGCCTCTAATTTTGATTTCTCGGTTTTTGTCTCAGAAACAAACGCTGAATTCTTGACATGTGTTTCTATTTTATTATTATTTATTATAAAAAAGGTTTTTTTTATTACTAAAGAAGAGATAAAAAACTTTAAATGGACCAAACATAAATTTAATTAAAAGACAAATTATACGAAATTAAATTTTAAGTTGACCAAATTCTCGCATTACATGGAAAGCGAACAATTTTAATCTTATGGTATTGATTATTGCGGATTTTTTTGGTTGCAATTGATGATTTTGTCAAACGCTGTGATTGACGAACCGCCTTCCCTTTTAGCTTGTTGATATTGAAATTTTAACTACCAAAGTTCACTGCCACAGGTTTGAGAACAAGGAATCTGAGGAAGACAGGAAGTAACTAGGATGTTTCAAGTATTACAACTCTATTCTTTTTATCCATTACTGAAAAACAGACAATTGATAACTTTTTTTTTTTTTGGCAACCATATATATAAATGAACAATCATGTGGAAAACTAGAACTGAAGGTTAACTTTTAAAATTTTAAAGCAAACACCTTTGTTATTTTTACGGAAAAAAATTTGCATACAGCGACAAGGTTGGATTTAGAGAATGAATATAATATTATTGTTTTGTAGCGTTGGTGAATTAGGATGCTTGAATTTGCATTTCAAAGGATAATGTTTTATGAAAGTAGCTGCAGTCTGCAGAGTTGAGACAATGAAGGAAAAGTGCAGTTGAATGCCCCTTGCCTTGGAGCTTAGCTCTTGCAAGAAGCCCATATTATGTTCTTTGCATTTACGTTGTACAACTAATTAAGTAGATAATAAACGATACAATATATAGGTAGATGAGAATGAGATAATGTGGTGTTCTTATTTACTGACTAGATGATGAAATGCCGATTTATCAAAGACCAATTAAAAATACATATGATTTGCCATGCACATTCATGCATTCTCTTCAATTAAACAAACTTCGTTCTATCCTTTTTCTTTGATTTTCATTTGCTTTCCATTTTCGTCAATTCAAAAGTTGATAAACACTCATATAATCAAAACTTGTACATGTTTTAAAGACTTAACGCTACTCACACTTAATAAAAGTTTAAAATAAAACAAAAATTTTTTTTGCTTTTCTAGTCAATAATTAATTATGTTTAAAACTATCGCAATCTATAGGACTGAAATTTAGTGGTATTTGATACATTAATTAATTCAAACTTACTTCCTAAGTCAATATTTGGTTTCATTATTACCTATATAAATTTTTGTTTGAAACTCCTAAGTTTTGCTCTTTAATTATCAATCGAAGATGATATGATGTTCATGTGACATGAAAATGTGTTTTTTTTTTTTTTTTACATTAAGAGGGAGATAGGATAGACAAGAAATGAATGACCTCACATGGGCAAATTAAAACCCAGATAGGGACTCATGACGGTGTTATAGGGGCTGTGGCTGTGAAGAGATCAACACGTTTATTACTTTACAAATCAAAGAAAAATATATATGCCTACCTATGTGACTGATTATCACGTAATTGGAGCAGTCGCTGCCTGAATTTATATAAATACTTAAGCATGGAAAGGAAATCTTAGAAGCACCACATGGCATCCATGTGCTTCAGCCTTAGCCCTTCAATAATTTCCCCTCTGATCATCTGCTTTGCCTTTGACAATTGCCAGTTGCCAATTGCCAACCTATCTTAACATCTATATAAAACCCATCTGCCAATGTAACCAACGGAAGGTGACTAGAGGCTTGGATACACGTCTTTGTGCACTTGTTTTTTTGTAATTGTCATAGGCTTATGAAATTATTATATTTAGAAGTACTATTCCTTTTACATTGCAGATGGTAGAAAGGAAATATATGTTATAGCAAAGATTGAAAATCTAGAATTATTATTTTTGGTAAATCTGAAATTTTGAGAAAATGCTTCAAGACGTATAACGGTATCATTTTTTTTAAGGTTTTATTTGCCTCTATTGTATTATTTATTAGTAGGTGTGTAAAAGGGTTGCAGACAATAAATCTTGAGGATATAGTGAAGCCCAACAATTGATTGCATTTTGCACTAATGAAATCAGTCCACCAAATAATCACTGACGTATCATAAGATCATTAAACTTTTATAAAGGTTTTCTGCAGCAAAACTTTTATAAAAAAAATCTAATGTTTGAAGAAAAAAGGAGAGTTTCAAGAATTATTTTTATGTTTTTTTAGAAAACCAGAAGAGCTTTTTATGAACAAATAAGTGTCATTTTCTATAAATATGACTATCTATTTTGAATAGACAGAAACTATCTATTTTTGAATAGTTGAAACCGTTCATCATAAACAGACTTATCTCTCTATTTTGAATAGATTTAACTATCTTTATTTTTTTTTCATTGTGGGATTATTTTTCATATTTTATTTTAAAATTCTTTAACAATCCCCCTATCATTTTTAAAATAATCCAGATTTATGATGACCTTAAAAATCAATTGTATAAATGAAAATCTTTTCTGATTTGAACCTTCACTTAGTGAAAACAAGTTAAAGTTAACCAAAATTGCATGGTAAACTATGCTTTAAACTAGCTATTCCATTTGGTTAACCGAACTTATCTCACACAATGATTTCAACACCCAATGAATGCTTGGTATCCGGTGACACATTTATGATCATGTGTCTACATCCTTTTTTCATGAGTGCTATTAAAGCCAAAATCTTAAACTCTTAGAAGCGACCACACTTCACACTCACATGAATAGCTCCCATCAAAAGCGTTCTTGTAACTATAATACTCTAACATATTTATATTATGGGTCTATTAAGAGTATATTACTCATATTTCTTTTACCATTACAGGTACCTAGCACTTTACCTGGGATGGTATTAAACATTACTATAGTGTTAGCAGTCACAAAAAAATAATGTATTTTGTCTCATTGAACCCAAGACTTAACTTTATATCAAGTGTTAAGTCGAGTTTTCATCATGGGTGACTTTATTTCATAAGTTTGAGTCCTATTCCTATTGAGGACTTTTTACCAAGTCTCTAGCAAAACTTTTTGTTAAAGGATCCGCCAAGTTTTTACTTGATCTCACATAATTTATAATGATCATTCCATCAAAAATTAATTGTTGAATATAGCTATGTCTTAATCTAATATGTCTAGACTTTCCATTATATAATTGGCTATATGTCTTTGTTAGAGTTGCTTTACTATCACATCAGATAAAATTTGAAGAAATTGGTTTAGGCCATAAAAGTACTTTATGTAATAAATTTTTTAGCCATTCAGCTTTTTTAGTTGCTACAGCTAATGTAATAAACTTGGTTAATATGGTGGAATCCATTATACATATTTGTTTCTTGAAACCTCAAGAAATAGCACCCCCACCAAGTACAAAGATCCACTTGCTTGTAGAAGCATGATCTTTCATAATAATAATCCAACTAGCATCAGAATATCTTTCTATACCTGAAGGATATCCACTCTAACACAATCTATAATTGATTGTTTTCTTCAAATATCAAAGTACTCTTTTAATTGCTTGCTAATGTAAGTTACTTGGATTACTTGTGTATTTACTCAACTTTCCAACAGCAAATGCTATGTCTGACCTTACACAAGTCATTGCATACATCAAACAACCAATTACTCTTTCATATTGTAATTGATCGATTGTTCTACTAATATTAGATACTAATTTCAGTTGAGGATTTATGGGTGTGGTTACTGGAATACAATTGAAAATATCAAGCTTTTTAAGTATTTTTTTCAATATAATGCGATTGTGACAAGGTTATGCCACTATTATTCTGGATTATTTTAATTTCAAGAATAATATCCGCTATACCCATATCTTTCATTGAAAAGTTATTTGATAAAAATTTTTTTATTTCCTTAACTTGTTTTGAATTAGTGTAAAATATTAGCATATCATCCACATATAAGTAAATTATGACTCCTTTATCATTTTTAAATTTGTTATATATATATATATACATTTATCTGACTCATTAATTTTAAAATCATTAGCAAGAACAATTTCATCAAACTTTTGGTGCCATTGTCTTGGTGCTTGCTTAAGTCCATACAAAGACTTTACAAGCTTACAAACCTTATACTCTTGACATGGAACGATAAATCCTTCTAGTTGTCCCATATATACTTTCTTTTCTAATTCACCAATTGAAAATGCTGTCTTTACATCCATTTGATATGTAATCAAATTATAAATCAAGGTAAGTGAAATTAGAAGCCTAATTGTAGCAATTCTAGCTACTGGAGCATAAATATCAAAGTAGTCTATCCTTTGCTTTTGTATAAAGCCCTTGGTTACCAACCTTGCTTTAAATTTATCTATGGCTCCATCCACCTTCATTTTTTTTTTGAAAATCTATTTACAGCCTATTGGATTAGAACCCAGTGGAAGGTTAACCAAAATCCAAGTGTTATTTTCCATTGTTGAGTCCATTTCATCATTCATTACTTCTCTCTAAAAGGCATAATCTTAAGACTTCATTGCTTCTTCATATGTAACAAGATCAGACTCCGTATTAAAACAATAAAGAATTTTATTGTTTATGCTTTTATAAGTCCTTTCCACAAGAAACATAAAGAAATCTAGTCTAAAATCTTTTACTTTTCTAACCATTTTACTTGTTCTTATTTCTTGACAAGATTCATCATTAATTTCAGTTTGTTTCGATGGATTTGGAATTTTTTTTCACTTATAGGATAAATTACTTGTAATTGTCTCAAAATAGATTTAAATATATTTTCATCAAAAATTGCATCTCTTAATTTAATAATAATGCTAACTGAAATTGAATCATTTGGTTCAATAACCATGAACCTATATGCTTTACTATTTTGTGCATATCCTATAAATATACATTTTATTCCTCTTTCACCTAACTAGGTTATGAAATTTTAACTGCAGCTCTATATTCTCAAACTTTTAAATAATTAAGATTTGGTTTTCTTTTCTTTCATTGCCCATATAGGGTTATTTTTGTTTCTTTGTTAAGAATTCTATTTAGTATATGATAAGTTGTTAATAAAGCTTCACCCCAAAATCTTTGTCCAAGACCAGAATATGATAATATCGCATTTACCATTTTTGTTAAGACCCTATTCTTCCTTTTAGTTACACCATTCTGTTATGGTGTATAAAGAGTTGTAACTTGGTAGATTATTCTGATGGATTCAAAGAACTTGGACTATAATATTCTCTACCCCTATCCGACCTTAAGCACTTGATAAAAGATTCACACTGAAGTTCAACTTCAGATTTATATATTTTAAACTTGTCAAGTACTTCATTTTTAGAATATAACAAATAAACATAACAATATCTAGTATAATCTTCTATAAATGTGACAAAATATTTCTTTCCAGATAATATAAGAGTGCTACGCATATTACAAACATCATTGTGAATTAATTCAAGTAACTTTGTATTTCTTTTAACCTTAGAAAAATGATTTCTAGTAATCTTAGTCAATATGCATGTATTACATTTATTAATGTCTTGACTAAATTTAAGAATTAACAGAAGCTTACTTATATCATGCAATTTTTTATAATTTAAATGACCTAATCTATAATGTCATAAATATGAAGATTCAACCATGTAAGCAAAAACATCATTCTTATTTTTGTTAATAATATTGAGTTTAAACATTCCCTTATACATATATCATTTCCTAACAAATTTTTTTTCCTTAGACAGAATAAATTTATCTACCTCAAATACAACTTTAAAACTAAACTTGTTCAACAGACTTTCAGACACTAAGTTCTTCCTAACTTCTTGCACATAATAAACATTATTCAAAGTTAGAGTTTTAGAGTTTTTCTAGAAGCGAATTCAAAGTCAACAATCCCTTTGCCTTTGATTGTTGCGTAGAATAATTTTTCATGTAAGAGGACACTGCCATATTCATTTGGTTTGAATGTCGTGAATATGCTTTTGTCATTGCATACATGTTTTGTTGCCCCTGAATCAACCCACCAAGATTCATCATTTTCAAGTGTGTTCATCTTGAAAATCATGGCAACAAATTTTTCAAAAGTATCCCCTTTTGAAGAATCATTTTTTTTTGTAGCAACCAACATTTTTTCTTGAAATGTCCTAGCTTATCACAATGATAACATAAGCTTTTCTTATTCTTCTTGAATTTAGGCCCATTAGCAATTTGCTTGAACTTGAACTTCATTTTATCAAGCTTTATAATCTGTCTTTCCTTCAAAACATGAACTTTGGCATCATTAGAACCAAAATTCTATTCTTGCTTTCTATATTCCTCTTTAATTCGAATATGATTAGCCAAAACCTTAAGAATGATTTTTTTTTTTTTTATGTTTCAAACTTCTTTTAAAGTGCTTCTATGATGAAAGAAGTATGTCTATTATAGAAAACACCATAATTGTTTCATCCATAGTCATATTATATTGTTTAAATTGATTAAACATTCTTTCAATTTCATGCAGTTGTTTAATCACAGAATGTTCATCAACCATATAATAATTATTGTAATGATTAACAAGAAATTTTCTTACTTGTTGCATCTTCGATCATATATCTGGTCTCTAATTTATCCCATAACTCTTTTACAGTAGTTTCATTTTGGTATGTATCAAATAGGCTGTTAGACAGACAATTCAAAATATGGCCTTTACACATGTAGTTTGTATTATCCTATTTTTGCCTCTCTTTTGTTGCAATAATAAATTCTTCTGTTTCATTTTCTTTTGGCTTAAGAGTAATCAGAACATATACAACCTTCAAAGTTAAAAGTAAGAAATACATATTCTTCTGCCATCTTCAAAAATTGCCTTCATAAAAATGATCTAATTTGACAAAAGTAAGAATCAATTCCTTGAGTGTTACTTCAGTAGCCATTGTTGGAACGAATAAAACCTTAAAATTGTTGAAGCAAGTTTTGAAAATATGAAATTACTACGTCTGGTAAATCTAAAATTTTGAAGAAAGACTCTAAAACATGCAATGGTGCCACTTTTTCTAAGGTTTTATTTGCCCTCATTGTATTATCTAATTAGTAAGTGTGCAAAAAAGTTACAAACAATAAACTTTAAGAATATAATGAAGCCCAGCAACTGATTAATTTTTACACTGACGAAATCAATCTACCAAGCAATTATCGATGTATCACAAGATCACTAAACTTCTATAAAGATTTTCTACAACAAAAGCTTTTATAAAAGAAATCTAGAGTTTGAAAAAAATAAGAGAGTTCCAAAAATTATTTTTGTGTTTTTTCAAAAAATAAAAAAAGCCTTTATAAATAGATAAATATCGTTTTCTACAAATATGATTATTTATTTTGAATAAACAAAAACTATTTATTTTTAAACAGTTAAAACAGTTTATTTTAAATAGATTTATCTTTCTGTTTTGAATAAATTTAACTATCTATTTTTATTTTTATTTTTTTAATGTGAGATTACTTCCCATAACTTATTTTGAAAACATCTAACAATATATAAGAATAAAAACATGTTTTCCTGACGGTTTCGTGTGTTCTTGATCGTAATTTTAATATATTTACTGATGGATTGATTTGAGGTTGGATGAATGAGACGGTTAACATTGAGATGTTTAAATTAAGATGCAGGTTTAAATGACTAATTATGTGAACTCATAAAGTTAGCATTTCAGAATTGACAACAAATACAAATTATATATAGTAGAGGAGAGGAGAGGCCAAACGTGAATAAAGAAATCCCATGCACATTGCTCCTCGTCTTAATTAAAAATTAGGGCACCTTTCACTTGCCTACGTTTTGCCGGTTCATGTTCTTTCAAGTCTTGACTTTGAGGCGGAATATCAGCTTATATTCCTATTCATACAGATGACAGACATTTCTAACCCCGTGGATATAAATATATATATATATATATTTATATGATCTAACAGTTTCCATTCCTCCTTTAGTTGAAGTGGGACAATTCAGATTCAGATCATCCTCCCATAACCATAAGAGATCAATGAGACAAGATATTTTAGCAAAAAACATAAGAAACAGAAACGAAAGATGAGTAAAATTGAAAATGAAACTCCGATACCCAAAGTGAAACCGTCCGATTCTGAGAGAGTTGAGAAAGTTCTAACCTATAAGTTCACTTCAGGGTTATGCAGAAAGTTTCGTCCCAAAGGACATCCCAAAGCAATTCATGGCTACCAAGTCCAATGCCCTGCTCTTGTGAAGTCAGTAACCCGTGTTTCGGAAGGGTAGATGACATATTACAAAATGATGTACTGATTTAAAGTTCTATACATACTCTAAAGAGACTTTAAAACCCGCCTACCTGTTTCCTTGGAACACCTCCATATATCCCAGACGAAAAATCAGTGCTTCCGTAAGATGAAGGACCAGACATCGGACAGACTTTGGCCCAAAGGCCAGTTTGATGGCATTTATAGCACTCATCTGAGGTACGGCCAACACTTGCCCGAGAAGATATTCTATCAGTATAGTCCCTCCTCATAGTGTACTGGACTATTCATAATGGTAGGGCAGGGCAATTTGTAGAGCTATGACCGGTAACTCCGCAACTGTTACAGAACACATCCATGCGTGAAGCAGTTTCTCCAAGCCTAGAACCACTGTACTGATTTCCATATTGTACCCCTTGATTTCTAGGTAACCCGCATTCTCTGGTAGCAGTTGTTGGTGCAAGATGTCTGCCTCCATCAGTCCCTATTCCAGTATAATCCATTCTATGATTAGGCGCGGTAATCTCTGCCTTCGATGCAGAACTAGAATCATTTGCTTTAATCTTATCAATCAAATCCCAAAGGCACCTCGATTCTGATGAAAATTGTACTTTTTCTACTTTTACCACTGTCGATTTCACACGCTGTTCATCACTAAAAGTTTCCTCCTTCACTTTCAACTTGAAAGTATATTTATTAAACATAACCTGTCGCGTGATTTCCATAAATTTTTCATCATTTTGGTTTTCATACCTCAAATGATACAAATCTTTTGCCGACACTTCCATGAGATCTTCACCAGACTCCTGAAAAGCAGTCACCCATGTTGTACCCGTATGATCCTGTATCTGGAACTGAATAACATACCTGTAGTCACATTCATCTACTGACCTATCACATTTATCACACCACCACTTCCCATTTCCATTATTTGTAACCTTTTTGTTGCATTGGCGATCCCCATTCATGACGGGACAAGCTCTGTAGCACAAATTGTCTAACTTGATGTATGCAATAGTTGCTACAACTGTAATCCAATCTGGCTTCTCAGAAGTCCCTAGCCTCTCATCTTTGATTTGTGATATAGTTTTCTATTATCTGTACTACTCACACTTGATGTTTCCTTAGAAATAGAGACAGGAGTATTCCTCCCCTCCCTGACAAACCATTCCTTTAGCCTGTGAGTCTCAGGAAAATTAGGATCTATAAATAACTGGGATGTAGAGATAGTTCCCACCGCCTTCCCATTAAAATCACTCACCCTACCAGTTTTCACAGCCAGAACTGGAAACTCCCCAGTATCACACAAAGATTGGAGCCTTTGTCCTTCAACATTACAAAACGCTCCCCATAAAGTTAATTCAACGCTTCGGCCAGACATGTCCATCAAATGAAGGATTCTCTTCTGAGTTTCTGTACCATTTTTTCTCATTATTGAAGCAGTAGGACTGATAAATGATACCACACCAATTATATCCACAATATCATTGTTCTCCATGCCTTCAACATCACTTATGGTACGGAAATGAAATTGCTGCCGTGGAATTGTGTTGTCATCCTCATAACACGGCTGTACTGTTGATGTGCTATCAAGAAAAATTTCATGCTCATTATTAAGGTGATTGAATGCCTTCTGAGCAGGTTTCAGACTTCCCCTAGAAATCAGATAAATCTTACCAGCTTCAATCTGGTTATAGAATTGGTCAACCACAGCATTAAAGCAGGTCACCCGTATTTCCCCACCATCAGAATCGAGGAGATCAAAAGAGAAAACTTTACCATCACCACGAGCATTGCTGTAGCGCCTAAGTTCTCCCTTTACTGTTACTCTGGCCTTTATTGCCCACCTGCCCTGATAAGGATACAGAGAAGAAATTGGGATTATCCTGGGTGGTGCCTCATTCTTGGCTACTGGCCCTCTATTAGCATACATGGGGGATGGCTGTTGATACGCAGGTATGGATTGGTGGATAGAGGTGCTTAGAGGACGTGAAACTGCTGGCCTAGGGCTATGGAAACCTGCACTCTGAACTCCACATGGTCCACTTGAAGATGATGATCCAGGAAAGCCAGCAGAAGGATCTGTTTTCGGATAAACAGGACGTGCATTTGCAGCAGGATATCTTACTTGCTCAGATTCATTCGTATAAGAACTACCATGAAACTGATTCATTCTAGGCTGCAGTAGAGTGGTCCTTGGCGTGTTCAACTTATCAGCCATACTGAAACCAACTGAGCTTCCTCGTACAGAATTAGTCTGTGCCATCACTATCCCAGGTTGATCAGTAGGGAATTGTGTGTGCCTAGAAGATTTGGGTGCTGGTACAGGCTTCCCAATGATATCATATTTTTCAACTATCACCTCCAACTCAATAATAATAACAATCCTGCATGCATGACATTCAACATAAGGTCATCAAGACAATTAACACATAAACCCACGCACAGATGCAACATAAATCACACAGCTTAAATAGACATAAACATTGACCCCATCATTCAGAATGTAACACTTGAATTGTTAACAACAATTTCAATTAATTGGAATATATTAATTTCAAGTTCAAGAAAGAAAAGAGTCAAATCAATAGTAAGACATACAAAATGCAGTACTATATAACATATATGACGATTAAATCTTCCACAACTCAAGCATTTGAGCAAGTGGCATATGTTAAAAACCAACAAGTCACTGCAATCCCAACTAAAAACCAAAACTTTACATTGCAAGTCCAAAAATTGCAGTCTCGAGTAACCGTACCGGTAGAATTGATTATAGAGATCGATCAAGTTACTAAAGTGCATTCCTCTCAACCCTCAAAGCACCCAATTCCAGCACCATATCAATTAACAAGTAAAAGAAGAAAAATTTATAAACCCACCCAGAAACACAAGAAACAAACAAGTAAGCATGCCGTGTCAGGATGAAAAGCCAACAAATATAGGTTCTTTATATTCAACAAAGATCTTCAAATGAATGGTGAAAGAGACAAAATAGTAATTAAGAAAAGATCTTTCGTTACATGCAATCTTGGATGACGTCGCAAATGTACTGAGTCAATTGAACAATGGAGCCGACTAGCAATTTAAAGGATTTCACAAGTTCGTTCTTACTGGTTGCAAGCACCCCTGGCTGCGTTAACGACCCATCCGATAGCAACAGCATGAACCTCTCGATCTTTTTCGGTTCTTGCTGCTGCTGTTGCGGATTCTTCGACGTAGTTTGAACCTCCTTCATCTCTATCACTTGAAGCACAGGTTTCAAGTCCCTCTCGGTGGTCACATCTTCGTTTATAATCCGAGCTACCGCCCCTCCCGTTAGATTGACCTCCATGGAAACCCTAAAATTAGAGACTTTTGGATACCAATGAGCGTTTGGATGGAGAGAAAGTGAGGGAAAACAAGAATGATGGGTTCAGATATTGAGAGAAATTGAAGGTTATATGGGGGGGGGGGGGGGGGGGGGAAGTTAAAACCTAGGCCAGAAAATGGAGAGCACCTCTTTACCTTTTCAACAGTTATTTGAGTGAGAGCGCGAGAGGGAGCGCAAGTCTGGAATTTTGGAAAATTTGTTTCCAATTAATGGGACTTGAATTTTTGAAATACCTAAACTGTCCTTTAGTTTAGTTTGGGTCATACTTCCAGAGTACAGTAATTGGTGTACGGTGAAGGAAATGTGAGGCATGATTGGTAAGGGAATAAAAATGAGTAAAATTAAGAGTGGATTATTAGTTGAGGTCCGGTGGAATACCAAATTTCAATGTGTAATTAATGAATAGAATATATAGCTGCAGTGACAGTTACTGAATTATTATTATTATTATTATTATTATTATTATTATTATTATTATTATTACGAGTTGAAGATGTGGAATTAAGGGCATAATCAATTATTTAACCTTATTAATTCATAGTAGCTTGTAAGAAAAAAGAGTATAAAAAGGTGATCAAAATAATTTCTTATGAACCTAACAAGAATTAATAAATTTATTTCATACGGTACTTGGATATATATGTTGAGAGAAAGATTTAAATTATTTTTTTTAGGTAAAGTTTTATATTAAAAATGATTAAATAAAAATTAAAATTAAAAATCAAAATTTATAAATTAAAAGATTTTATTACAAAGCTTTATCCAATATGCATATTTATATATATTCACTACTCATACAAAATACTTGTGTTCAGCAATCATTGCTGGACCAGTGTTAATTTTAACCTACACAAACATAATATTGGCAGAAAACGGTGCCATTCGATCCGCTATGCTTGTTGATGCGTAGGTCTAACATTCTTTTCATTTGAGATTATAGATTTTAGGGCTGATAATATCTGCAGTGACAATATATAGTCCAGTCTATCAAAGTACGTTTAATTACATCTTGCCTGAATCTGAAATAATCCTTTCAATCTCTTCTAAGAGCCGCTCCTTTTCATCCGTCAGCTCCTTGTTCTGCTTTTGTAGCTCTTCTATCTGCTTAGTTTGTTCCGAGTCCTTTCTGAGATTTTTTTTTTTGGTACAAAATGTAAATTGGGTTAATAATGATAACTTGAAAGGCAACCAAGTTTAAGGCGACATGCCTGATACTTCAGCATAATTTGAGATTAGTATTTATAATACAATGTAAACTGAATAAACAGAAAAGGTGAAATCTGGTTGTTTTCTTGGCAGCTAGAAGCTGAATGAGCTTCTAATTCTATCACTGCAGAGACATGAGCTCTCAGAGCTTATAATGCATATGTATCCTGATAGCATTAATCACCATTTTAGCAGCTAGGAATTATTAGTAAAATTAACATTAATCCTGAGTTGTTTCTTACATTTTGTTTGAGCTACTCATTTTTCACTTGCTCAGAGAATTATTACCATCCTGATAGACAGACATAACTCGATCAACTTCCAAGTTATTGGCTACAATCTACCTATTATAAGTAACTTAACATTGATCCGTAATTACCTGTTCATGAAAGACAAGTTGAGTTTGAGAGAGCGCACTTCCTTCTCAATAGTTTCACAACGCTTTAAGACTGCTTGCATGTCAGATGGAATTGCTGGGGTCGAATTCCTTTCTTTTGCCTCTGCCATCCTAAATCATCAAGTGTTGAATGTAAACAAAAGATTTTCAACTATAAGCATCCTACCACAATAATTAAATCATACTCCCTCAAAATCTCAAGTAGTATGATATATCCACATAAATGCTGATAAGTAAAAGCTTGGATAATCTTAAAAATACAAAGACAGAAATTCTGCAAGTTAGCTCATTGGTAAGGAAGAGGATACTCTCCCAAGAGTTGCTCAGATTGTTTTACTTACTTTCCTGACCACTCCACTCTCCGCTTTTTCGTTGGGTCTGCCCTGTCCGCTGCATTATTTTTGGTTCGGTTAGTGAAGATTATATAGTTGTATAATCAGTATGCCAATGCATATGCAATGCAAAAGGAAGTCATGTACTTAGTACTTCTACCAGAATATGTATGTTGTAGACACCCATTTTGGTTAGGGTCCAATCGAGCCCATTCTGATCCAAGCCTAGTTGGGCCCATTCTGGTCCTAGCCCAAGTGAGTCCATTTTGATCCTGACCCAATTGAGCCCATTTTTGTTTGAACCCAACTGAGCCCATTTTGGTCAAGCCCAACTAAGCCCATTATAGTCCATTTTGGTCCAATTAGATTCTTTTATTATTATTATTATTATTTTTTCTATTTCCTTTTTTGCTCAATCTGCACGTGAATGAAGATCAGGATCACAATATTTTTGGGTCAACAAAGAATCAAATTAATACTACTGAAATTTTGGATCTAAAATCTCTCCTGAACAGAATGTAATCTCAAGAATCAAGCTTGCAATTGATTCTGTCAGTTTCCTGAATTGATCATAGGCTGCCTATAAATTGAACATAATCTGCAAAGCAAAAACACACAGAGAGACACACAAAAAACATAAAGAAAATTATTGGGGAAATTCTAGGAAAAGTCTGACAATAAGGGTTTATGGGATTCGAAAAATAGGATTTTGGATTTGATTTAGAATTCTAATGGGATTTTAGGTTTCTAGAGGTGATTTTAAAGTCGTAAGAGATTCAAGAAGGGTTTAGGATGATTTAGGAATTTTTTTTGAATTTTTTTGGTTTTTTTTTGAATTTTTTTGGATTTCCTGAAGAACTTTGAATTTTTCGACGAAAATTGAAGTGTCCGACGAGATTCAACAAAATTTCCAGAGTCTTATAGGTTTTAAAAAAATCGGTGGGATTTTCAGTTTTCGGTTGAACTTTCAGGAGAGAGGTCAAAGGTTTTGGGGTGTAGAGAGAGAAAGGTTTGGAGTTCTGAGGAAAATGCGTTGAAAGGTGCCTTATATACCGTCTCTACACGACGTCATTTTGGCAGCCTAAGATTTACGTGCCAACCCGCGTTTTGACCTGACCCGATTGTAGGTTTTTATTTTATTATTTTATTTTATTTTATTTTTAACCCATTTTTTATTTTATTTTATTATTTTCTTAAAAAAACAAACGAACCAAAAAGAAAACAAAAAATTAATTTTGCCATTGATATCTTTTTGAAAAATATATTTAAAAAAATAAAAACAAAATAAATGAAAAAAATTTCAAAAAAGTTTTTTTTTCTTGAAAATAATGTATTCAAAATAATATATAAATGAATAAAAATTTTGAAAGGTTTTGCTGTTATGATAAAATTCATAAATTATTTGATAAATTATAAAAATGAGTGAGACTTGAATAATTCGAAATCAAACTAGTGCCATCCCTCGGATAAGCATTTTGGGGGTGCTACAACATTCCTCATGCACAATTAATTTCCAAACCTAACCTCTGTTTTGCAAATCAAATTTAATCAGGTGGCTAATCACACCTAATCAAAAAAAAATTGTGACGACTCCTTTTCATTCCAACTCTAGCGATAGGTCAACAGATTTATACGTTATGACAACTTAATGACTCCACTAAGGACATATTAGAAAGTTAAACTAGTAAAAAATTTTTTATTATCCAAGCCTTGTCTAACAAATTTGAAATTACCTATTTTTATTACTTATATCTGCTTTATTATTGTTTATTTGTCCGCCCTATTATTCAGTATTTATATTTACCTAAATATTTGCTTATTATATCTATCATTCATTTGCATGTGCATAACATAAGCCCTCCACCCGAGCTCTATTTTAGGAAGGAGTGAAGTACTTATACCCTTGTGAGATTTCATGTCTTCACATGGGCCTGCGAAACACTCCCATTCAGACTGAACCATTTTCGCTTGAAGCCTATGATAGGTGAAAATTTTGGTGTCTTACTAGTCTGTAATGGACCATGATGTAAGAAACAATTTGAGAACCTTTTAGAAATGGCATAAACCACATATAGTTGACTTTAGAAGCCCAACCATAGATAGAGCCTTATTTTCCCACCCGTTGTAGATAATCCAAAATCCTAGGTCATGCTGTTATGTTTTCCTATATTTCATTGAAATGACTAACTAATATCTGTATTCTTTTATCTCTTTTTGCACACATTCATGAACATATTCATAGATTGTATAATATTCTTGCCCCAAAGCTATTTCAACAAAAACCGTTATAGATTCCACAGAATGTCAGGTTTGCGCTTCATCTATGCTGTTCAAATGTGATTCTCCCACAGAGGTGAAGATCGAATCAGAAAAGAGACAACTAAAAGAAGAAGATTGTTTGCCACCTGGTCACGGGTCAAATCTTAAGCTCCGAATCCGCGCGACTCTGAGACCCGGACATTTACTCATCTGACGTCTCAGATCAGCCTAACCATCACGGTTTACACCCTTGTGAGGTATTGTCCGCTTTAACCCCCTAGCATCACGATTTTGTCCTATAAAAGACGCCTCACAAGGCAAAGGTGATGTGAGCCCTTATATACCCCAGTGACCCTCCTATTATGTTCGATGTGAGATTCATGACTCTTTCTTAGGTTCGTGACATTCTCTCGCACCCAATCTCGTGACACCCTCGTCATAGAGGCTAACCACCCTGCCTGCCTCCCTTGAGGTGCTTGACGTGGATCGAACGGTTTAGGACTGGCTCTGATACCACTTGTCACGGGTCGAGTCTTAAGCTTCAAACCCGTGCGGCTCCGAGACTAGGGCATCCACTCTATCGACGTCTCAGATCAACCTAACAATCATGGTTCACACCCTTGTGAGGTATTGTCCGCTTTGACCCCCCTTGACCTCACGATTGTCTTACAAAAAGCCCCTCACAAGACGGAGGTGGTGTGAACCCTTATATACCCCAGTGACCCTCCTATTATGTTCGATGTGGGATTCAGAACTCTTCCTTAGGTCTGTGACACCTACATTATCAGAAGAAGTCCACTTACTTCTCAAGCACAATAACGTGAAAAAGCTTGTCAGACACATGGAATGGTATGACCCCTTCAAGGCAAGAGGCTTTTTGTGAAAAGTTTAGACATATAGCACATCTCTTGTCAGTGGAGGTTGACTACTCACTTATTATGACGATAATACAATTTTAGGATCCCTTCTATCGGTGTTTCATCTTTAATGAGGTCAATTTAGTACCAACAATTGATGAGTACTCAACTCTGATGGGTATGCATCTATTGTATCCAAACAGAATAAACATGAAGAAACACAAATCAGAGAGTCACAGGAAGCTGAGTAAGAGGCTAGGGGTGAGAAAAAAAATTATAAATTCGTACATTCGAGAAAAAATGATCATAAAGGTATTCCGTGGGGGGTCCTACGAGATTTCATTATCAAGCATCCAAATGATGACCAAAGAATGAATGCATTTGCTCTAGCCATATATGGGTTGGTCATTTTTTCCAAGGTCATAAGAGACGTTGAGATAAAAGTGGTTGATCTATTTAAGCAAATTGAAAAAGGTTGTAACCCTTCACCAGTTATCTTGGCAAAAACTATTAGATCTCTGAGTTTTTGTAGGCAGATGAATAAAACATGTTTCATGAGTTGCATACCCTTATTATATGTACGGATAAAGAGCCATTTTGAATGCAAAAAAAGTGCCTTTACCAAACTTTATTTCCACACTCGGAATCCAATTAGAAAATTCTATCAGAGCACTTGGCCAGAGGTAAAGACTTAAAAAGAATGAAAATATCTACTACAAAGGCTCACGGCTAGTCAAGTAAGATGGTTAGCTCCATAGATAGGTAGAGAACCTATACTATACCAATGTGGAAATGAGACAGGGATTTCCCTTCTACGCTTATGTGGGTTAACAAGTTATGCCTCATTAATGGTAAAAATGCAGCATGAAGTTGAACAATTTATTCCTATGACCCGCAAGCTCGGCCAATTCGACTGCTCATATAGGGAGCCCGAAACCTTCCAAAAGATTGATAACATAATTAAAACCTATAAGAAGCCTAAGAGAGTAAGCTCAGGCCATTCACTAATCAAGTTACTTAAGGGTATTTGGTTTGGAGAAATAAAAGAGGTTAGGAGATTGCATTTGGGCCCCAGGATCGTCATTTACCAGTGGGTCAAGAATCTGATAAAAAGCTATTGAAATTAAAGCATGAGATGAAAAAAGAGAAACTGAGACAAGAGGTCTTAAAACTGCAGGAAGAAAAGGACCAATGGTAAAACAACGCAGAGAAACTAGAAATCCAAGCCCACAAAATTTTCAAAGAATACAGCAAAGCCTAGAAAGTTGTTAGAGAACAAGACGATGCCCTAAAAAAGCTGAAAGAGTTACAACAGGAGCATAAGAGGTTGTGCATGTAGGTACAAACTAAAGAAATAAATAATACTAAATTGGCTCGTGAAAATGAAAAGTTAAAATAAAAACACGACCACATAGAAATGCTTTCATAGAGGTTGAGTAAGAGTACCAATGGCTTTCAGATCACATTTTAACTTTGACATCAAAGTTGAGTAAACAGAAAAATCATGTCAGGTTCCTTACAGAAAGGCATAGAGAATTATCCTATCAGGTGTGGTGTGACAAAAAAGAAAGGTTAGGAAAACAAAAATATATAGAACACCTCACCGCTCAGATAGGCAAGACCATGATCTAAACAAGCAAGATGGCAAAAAAATCTAAAACTTTGAAAACTTTGATTACACTAGCATGAGAGCATGGACAGAAATTATTGAACTTTATTGAGAAAGCTAAAAACCAGTATGAGCAAATTAGACATTTCTATAGAGAAACAATATTAGATTTGATGTAAAATAGACTTCTGTAAAATAAATGAAAGTTTCTTTTTGTTGGATCTTTTTCAAAGGGCAAATATTTTCCTTTTACTTTCTGTTTTCTTTCATTTACATCACATTCACTCATGCATTCATTATCATAACATTATCATTGAATCTTTAATTATGGTA